TTTGTACCTGGTAGTGTGGGGCCCTTCTGAGGGCCCTAAACACCACTTTGACCCCTCCTCTCTCCAGTGTGCAATAACAGAACTAATTTAGACTCAGTTAGGAATCTTGTTACATGCTGCACAGCTGAAATCACTGATACCTAGGTCTAAGCATTAGACCTACTTTGGGCTAGTGGTTCTGATGCAAGAAGACTATCCAGGTGCACCAGCAGTGAGGCTCTCCTACTAACAGCAGAAATCACTGAGAGCTGAAATCACTGAGAGCTGTGTTAAGTAGGGGGGGCCTGAAGACATATTGGTGAGCGGCTGGCGGAGAGGCGCGGCTAGCAGAACAGCTAGCAGAGAGGCGCAGCCAGCAGTGCGGCTGGAGGAGAGGCGCGGCTGGTGGTGAAGACTGGAGCAAAACCCACAGAGAGGAGTGGCAATCGGCCATCAAGGGCCAGAGCAGCGGAGTGTGAGAGGTGCCTCCATACTTCCCCCCTTCCACCCAGGCTGGGAGGTAAACTCTGCAGCTGAACTTCTGAACTCTGGGCCTGCACTGACCAAGGACAGCAACTGTGAGTTTTGGGTTGCTGGACTCAAGAACCAAAGGGAAAGGACACAGCCCAATCTACTTAGGGGTGGGTCTTCTGGTTCATGGTTTGTGTTTATGAACCCTAGTTGTGGTGTTTTCCCAATTTAATGCTAAGTTGTTTACCTCTTGTTATTAAAGATTTTTTGCTACACCAAGGGTATGTCTACACTACGAAATTAGGTCGATTTTAGGTCGATTTTCTAGAAGTCAATTTTTAGAAATCAATTTTATACAGTCGATTGCGTATGTCCACACTAAGCGCATTAAGTCGGCATCCTCACTACCGTGGCTAGCATCGACTTATGGAGTGGTGCACTGTGGGTAGCTATCCCACAGTTCCCGCAGTCTCCGACGCCCATTGGAATTCTGGGTTAAGCTCCCAGTGCCTGATGGGGCAAAAATATTGTCGCGGGTGGTTTTGGGTACATGTCGTCAGTCTCCCCTCCCTCTGTGAAAGCAACGGCAGACAATCGTTTCGTGCCTTTTTTCTGAGCAGACGCCATACCACAGCAAGCGTGCAGCCCACTCAGCTTAGTTCACCGACACTGCCGCTGTTGTGTCCTGGGTGCTGCTGGCAGCAGACGGTGCAATAGGTCATACACCATTGTCATACACCGCTTCCACTGCAACTCTGCTCTGCTGCTATTGCCTCAATAGCGAATTTCTCCATGTTGTCTGTCATGGGCTCCCAGGTACATGTGTTCTTCCTCGGGAAATGTGCGCGGTGCTAACCGTCGTCCTCTACCGCTTCCGCTGCAACTCTGCTCTCCTGCTCTTGCCTCGATAGCGAATTTCTCCCTGTTGTCTGCCATGGGCTCCTGGGTAAGTGTGTTCTTTCTCGGGAAATGTGCGCGGTGCTAACCGTCGTCCTCCACCGCTTCCGCTGCAACTCTGCTCTCCTGCAGACGCCATACCACGGCAAGCATGGAGCCCACTCAGCTCACTGCTGCTGCTGTGAGCATTGTAAACACCTCACGTATTATCCTGCAGTATGTTCAGAACCTGCAAAAGCAGGCGAGGAGGCAACGACAGCGATGAGGACATGGACACAGACTTCTCTCAAAGCACGGGCCCTGGCAATTTGGACATCATGGTGTTAATGGGGAAGGTTCATGCCATGGAATGCCGATTCTGGGCCCAGGAAACAAGCAAAGACTGGTGGGACTGCATAGTGTTGCAGGTCTGGGATGATTCCCAGTGGCTGCGAAACTTTCGCATGTGTAAGGGCACTTTCATGGAACTTTGTGACTTGCTTTCCCCTGAAGCGCAAGAGTACCAAGATGAGAGCAGCCCTCACAGTTGAGAAGCGAGTGGCGATAGCCCTCTGGAAGCTTGCAACGCCAGACAGCTACCGGTCAGTCAGGTATCAATTTGGAGTGGGTAAAATCTACCGTGGGGGCTGCTGTGATCCAAGTAGCCAACGCAATCACTGAGCTGCTGCTATCAAGGGTAGTGACTCTGGGAAATGTGCAGGTCATAATGATGGCTTTGCTGCAATGGGGTTCCCTAACTGTGGTGGGGCGATAGACGGAATGCATATCCCTGTCTTGGGACCGGACCACCTTGGCAGCCAGTACATAAACCGCAAGGGGTACTTTTCAATGGTGCTGCAAGCATTGGTGGATCACAAGGGACGTTTCACCGACATCAACGTGGGATGGCCAGGAAAGGTGCATGACTCTCGCATCTTCAGGAATTCTGGTCTATTTGAACAGCTGCAGGAAGGAACTTACTTCCCAGACCAGAAAATTACCATTGGGAATCTTAAAATGCCCATAGTTATCCTTGGGGACCCAGCCCACCCCTTAATGCCCTGGATCAGGAAGCCGTACACAGGCACCCTGGACAGTAGTAAGGAGCAGTTCAACTATAGGCTGAGCAAGTGATAATGGTAGTAGAATGTGCATTTGGACGTTTAAAAGCTCGCTGGTGCAGTTTACTGACTAGGTTAGACCTCAGCGAAACCAATATTCCCACTGTTATTGCTGCTTGCTGTGTGCTCCACAATATCTGTGAGAGTAAGGGGGAAGACATTTATGGCGGAGTGGGAGGTTGAGGCAAATCGCCTGGCGGCTGATTACGTGCAGCCACACACCAGGGTGATTAGAAGAGCACAGCTGGGCGCCCTGCGCATCAGAGAAGCTTTGAAAACCAGTTTCATGACTGGCCACGCTATGGTGTGACAGTTCTCTTTGTTTCTCCTTAATGAAAACCCACCCCCTTGGTTGACTCTACTTCCTTGTAAGCCAACCGACCTCCCCCCTTCAATCACCACTTTCAGAGCCAATAAAGTCATTATTGTTTCAAAATCATGCATTCTTTTTAATTCATCACACAAATAGGGGGAAAACTTGCAAGGTAGCCCGGGAGGGGTGGATGAGGAGGGAAGCACTGGGTGGGGTGGTGGATGAGGGGAGGAGGGAAGGACAAGGCCACACTACAGTTCAAAACTTATTGAATGCCAGCCTTCGGTTGCTTGGGCAATCCTCTGGGGTGGAGTGGCTGGGTGCCCGTAGCCTTCCCCCTCCCCGTGTTCTTGGGCGTCTGGGTGAGGAGGATATGGAAGTTGGGGAGGAGGGCAGGCGGTTATACAGTGGATGCAGCAGGGGGTTGTGCTCTTGTTGGCTTTCCTGCAGCTCCAACAGACACTTCATCATGTCTGTTTGCTCCCCCATTAGCCTCAGCATTGCGTCCTGCCTCCGCTCTTCGCGCTCACTTAATTCTTTCCTGGCCTCTGCCACTGAATGCCTCCATGTGTTAAGCTATGCCCTATCAGTGCGGGAGGACTGCATGAGCTCAGAAAACATGTCACCGCGAGTTTTTTTTTTTTTTTTTTTGCCTTCTAATCTGCGATAACCTCAGGGACGGAGATGATGGGGGAGTGTAGAAACATTCTACGCTCTTCGATTCTAGGGGGACTTTGTTTTTTGGTAGGCTTGCCTCAGCTCCTTAACTTTCATGCAGCACTGCTGCGTGTCCCTGTTGTAGCCTCTGTCCATCATGCCCTTGGAGATTTTGGCAAATATATTGGCATTTCGTCTTTGCCTGCACGGATTCTTCTCCCCATACAGCGATCAGATCCAGTACCTCCTGTTCGGTCCATGCTGGAGCTCTTTTGCGATTCTGGGACTCCATGGTCACCTGTGCTGATGAGCTCTGCATGGTCACCTGTGCTGATCAGCTCGCTACGCTGACCAAACAGGAAATGAAATTCAAAAGTTCCCGGGACTTTTCCTGTGTACCTGGCTAGTGCATTGGAGTTCAAAGTGCTGTCCAGAGCAGTCACAATGGAGCACTCTGGGATAGCTTCCGGAGGCCAATACCGTCGAATTACATCCACACTACCCCAAATTGGACCCAGCAAGGTTGATTTAGCACTAAACCCCTCATCGGGGAGGAGTACAGAAATTGATTTTAAGAGCCCTTTAAGTTGACAAAACAGGCTTGGTCGTGTGGACGGGTGCAGGGTTAAATCTACCTAATGCTGCTAAAATCGACCTAAACTCGTAGTGTAGACCAGGGCCAAGACTCTGTGCTTGCGAGAGGGGAACTATTGCCTCTTTGAGGCGCCCGGGGTGTGTGTGTAATTTTCCCAGGTCACTGGGTGGGGGCTCGAGCCGGTTTTGCATTGTATTCATAGAATCATAGAATATCAGGGTTGGAAGGGACCTCAGGAGGTCATCTAGTCCAACCCCTGCTCAAAGCAGGACCAATTCCCAACTAAATCATCCCAGTCAGGGCTTTGTCAAGCCTGACCTTAAAAACCTCTAAGGAAGGAGATTACACCACCTCCCTAGGTAACCCATTCCAGTGCTTCACCACTCTCCTAGTGAAAAAGTTTTTCCTAATATCCAACCTAAACCTTCCCCACTGCAACTTGAGACCATTACTCCTTGTTCTGTCATTGTTGAAAAGGGAACCCCTATGTACTGAACCCGGCCCTTGTTGCTATCAACTCTGCCTGGCAGAAGGATTACACATGCATGGGGTGCATGTGCACCTACAGTGGAGTCTAACTACAGTGGACAAATACTTAAAGGAGTGTTGGACTGACATGAAATACTGAGTTTGTTGTTGGCAAGGTCAAATATTTGTGCCTAAAATTGGACAGTGGAATGGATGATTTAAGATTATTAGGAAAGTCTGTACAGTATTGCCAGTGTTATAACTATAGCAATTACAGTGCATATAGCTACTATGTACTGTATAATTGATATAGTTGAATACAAAATTTTAAGATAATTAGTAGGGACTTTGTGCCTGATTCTCCTTTCACTCACACCAGTTTTTACAGTAGTGAAATTCCATAGACTTCAACCATGAGCTGAAACAGGTCCATGCTACTTCTTCTGTCTCCTCAAAAGTTGAGTTTTAAGTCTCTGTACTCTTTTCCCACCATGAGCTGGGATGTTCTTGAATGACTTACCCTTCCAAGGATCTGTCCAGAGTCCAATCAGGAGATCGACGGAGGGAACGTTCAGGTGATGATGTCCTTAAAGTAGAGCTTAATTGGTATGTAGTAGTAAGACTCTGGCGACGAAGCTCTTGTACAGCACGTTCCCTAAATCAAAAATGTTAATTGATTTTAAAGGAGACATTACCAACTAAGAAGCAAAGCCTCTCTACAAGACTCTACTTTAGACCCAAAGTAGTCTTATGTTATAGTATGGTGTGCAATAAAAAGAGGGTGCATAAATGTTTGTCAGCACAGTTCAATGGACAACACTCAACCTCTAAACCAGAAAGTTGTAGTTAGAAATACAGTAGAACCCTGTTTATTTGACTCTCCATTATCCGGCTCTCCATATTATCCGAACAACTAGCGCACACAGGTCCAGAAGTGCGTGATCTCTTCTGTGGCCACTAGACAGCACTGTGGCCTCACACTCTCTTATTCTCTGGATCAGAGGTTCTCAAACTGTGGTCCATAGACCACAAGTGGTCCGCGGGCTCCATTCAGGTGGCCCGCGGATAGTTCCCTCTAAATTGTGCCCCTGGGCAGCCGCATACAAGAGAATGAAGGGCCACCCACCTAATTAGTGGAGCCGCACAGGTGTGGCTCCACTAATTAGGTGCCTGGACCCTGGAGAAGACACACATGTAAGGTGAGGTGATGGCCTTGGGGGGGAATAGGGAGTAGGTGGGATGGGGCAGTGGGGCGAGAAGAGAGGATGATGGAAATTTGGGATGTGCAGGGCAGAGGCGGCCAAAGAAAGAGGTGATTTACCCCAGCTCCAGGGCTGTGGCTACCAAGGAGAGATGGCCCTCCTTCCCAGCCTCAGCTCTGTGGCGGGGGAGAGACCCCCCTCCTTCCCAGCCCCAGTTCGGGGGCTGCCGTGGAGTGGGAGGGAGGGAACATCCATCCCGTTAGAAAGGTAAGACCACTGATATTAAAATATGAGTTGTGTGCTTTTATTTGTAGAACAAAAAAGTTAATTATTAAGGTTTTTTTTATATAGCGCTTTTATCCAAAGCACTTAACAACAGTTAGCGAACGGTACAAAGAACATTTAGAAAGATCATTAAGTGGTCCGCCAAGACCCTCAGCAATTTTCAAGTGGTCCGCGGAAAAAAAGTTTGAGAACCACTACTCCGGATTATCCGAATTTTTGATTAGCCGGTCTGGTACCAGTCCCCCAATTAGATCAGATAAACGGAGTTCTGCTGTATTCATAGAATCATAGGATATTAGGGTTGGAAGAGACCTCATGAGGTCATCTAGTCCAATCCCCTGCTCAAAGCAGGACCGACACTAACTAAATCATCCCAGCCAGGGCTTTGTCAAGCCGGGCCTTAAAAACCTCTAAGGATGAAGATTCCACCACTTCCCTAAGTAACCCATTCCAGTGCTTCACCACCCTCCTAGTGGAATAGTGTTTCCTAATATCCAACCTAGATCTCCCCCACTGCAACTTGAGACCACTGCTTCTTGTTCTGTCATCTGCCACCACTGAGAACAGCCTAGCTCCATCCTCTTTGGAACCCCCCTTCAGGTAGTTGAAGGCTGCTATCAAATCCCCCCTCACTCTTCTCTTCTGCAGACTAAATAACACCAGTTCCTTCAGCCTCTCCTTCTAAGTCATGTGCCCCAGCCCCCTAATCATTTTCGTTGCCCTCTGTTGGACTCTCTCCAATTTGTCCACATCCCTTCTGTAGTGGGGGGACCAAAACTGGACGCAATACTCCAGGTGCGGCCTCACCAGTGCCGAATAGAGGGGAATCATCACTTCCCTCGATCTGCTGGCAATGCTCCTACTAATACAGCCCAATATGCTGTTGGCCTTCTTGGCAACAAGGGCACACTGCTGACTCATATCCATCTTCTTGTCCATTGTAATCCCCAGGTCCTTTTCTGCAGAACTGCTGCTTAGCCAGTCAGTCCCCAGCCTGTAGCGGTGCATGGGATTCTTCCTTCCTAAGTGCAGGACTCTGCACTTGTCCTTGTTGAACCTCATCAGATTTGTTATGGCCCAATCCTCCAATTTGTCTAGGTCACTCTGGACCCTATCTCTACCCCCCAGCATATCTACCTCTTCCTCCCCCCCCCCCCCCCCCCGCAGCTTAGTGTCATCTGCGAACTTGCTGAGGGTACAATTAATCCCATCATCCAGATCATTAATAAAGATGTTGAACAAAACCAGCCCCAGGACCAAACCCTGGGGCACTCTGCTTGATACCGGCTGCCAACTAGACATCAAGCTGTTGATCATTATCCATTGAGCCTGACAATCTAGCCAGCTTTCTATCCACCTTATAGTCCATTCATCCAATCCATACTACTTTAACTTGCTGGCAAGAATACCGTGGGAGACCGTATTAAAAGCTTTGCTAACATCAAGATATATCACGTCCACCGCTTTCCCCGTATCCACAGAGCCAGTTATCTCATCATAGAAGGAAATCAGGTTGGTCAGGCATGACTTGCCCTTGGTGAATCCATGTTGACTGTTCCTGATCACATTCCTCTCCTCCAAGTGCTTCAAAATGGATTCCTTGAGGACCTGCTTCATGATCTTGCCGGGGACTGAAATGAGGCTGACAGGTCTGTAGTTTCCCCGGGTTCTCTTTCTTCCCTTTTTAAAATATGGGCACTATATTTGCCTTTTTCCAATCGTCCAGGACCTCCCCCGATCGCCACGAATTTTCAAAGATAATGGCCAATGGCTCTGCAATCACATCAGCCAACTCCCTCAGCACCCTTGGATGCATTAGATCTGGACCCAGGAACTTGTGCATGTCCAGCTTTCTAAATAGTCCTTAACCTGTTCTTTCACCACTGAGGGCTGCTCACCTCCTCCCCATACTGTGTTGCCCAGTGCAGCAGTCTGGGAGCTGACCTTGCCTGTGAAGACTGAGGCAAAAGAAGCATCGAGTACTTCAGATTTTTCCACATCATCTGCACAAGGCTAGGACACATACCCAATACACTAAAGAGAAATTGTTCTGCACTATTAGAAATATTTATCTGCTAGAAGAAATACTAAGCAGAAGATTCTTTTGCACTGCTCTGGTGGTTCCTCAGACCAAAGCTAAAAATTTCATAATAGTGAGGGTAATCCCAATCTCTCTCTTGGCTAAATGTTCTCTTTCTTGCATTCCTCAGGGTTCTGCAAGAGCTATTGCAGAGCACATAATGGCTGCTCCAGTTCCCTACAGACAATGCAATATGGGTCTCTAACACATTACTTTATAAAACTACTTAATTGTCTGGATTATGAAAAATATTATAAAGCCCAAATGTTATTCTATTCACTTTACTGTTGCCAAAAGTCAGGATTTCCGGATATAAAATATACTGCTGGCTGTGGTACACAAGGAACAGAACACACCGGTAGATTAATGCAATATAAAACAGTATTAGACAGATATTGGAGGTATGTTGTTCACAAAATGATTTATTAAAGCAAAGATTCTGATTGATACAGCACAGGTTCAGAATTATGGACTCTAGGAGAACTCAGAATAACTGTATTAGGACTAGTTTACCATACTATCCTCATTTTATCAAATTATAATGTCTTCTAGAACAGTGGACCCCAAATTGCAGGGCATGTCCCCCTAGGAGAGCATGGAGGAACATTGAGGGGGGCGCATGTGGTGCCCAGGCCAGTCCCCACAGGGGGAAGGGAGGGAGCACTACCCAGCCCCTCTCTGCCTCCACCCAGCTCTGCCCCCCGCTGCAGCTTCACTTCACCCCCTGCTCTACCCCCAGCCCAGCTCTGGCCCCAGATGCAGCTTCACTCCGCCCCTTGCTCCACCCCCAGCCCAGCTCCAACCCCAGCCACAGCTCCACTCCACCTCCACTCCGCCCCCTGCTCAGCCCAACTCCATCCCCAGCCACAGCTCCACTCCATCCCCTGTCCATTTCCAGCCCAGCTCTGCTCTCATTCCCTCTCCGCTCCCAGGCCAGCTCTGCCTCTCGCCCCAGCTTCTTTCCCATCCCCAGTTCTGCCCTCAGCTCCACCTTCAGCCCCAGCTCCTCTGCTGAGCCAATTGTGCAGTATGGAGGGGAGGTGTGGACAGATTCCATTACTGGGGTGGAGGGAGGGGATGCGACAGGAAAACTATAGGCACCACTGTTCTAGAACAACAAAACTGACTTCAGAAAGTGAAATTATGCAAGAATACCAATATTGTTTCAGATAGCTGAGGCACATGATACAACTGCATAACTTGATATGTTGTCATTGTTTACATAAATGAATTTAAATAAACCTGTGTGTCTTATCAGAAGGCTTTTATTACTGTACTGATTTATCATAACCAGGGACCATGGATTTCTGAGATATTTCTATGTTTCTTTGTGTGGCAAGCTCATGTCCCCAAATCAAAAGACAACAGGCATATTAAAGACATGTTTTACTACTGTAGTGTCAGCAAAAGTAATAAAAGTCAATTCGGTTCCTTTGTTTTCAATTTAAGAATGAGGTTAACCCGTGACTGTGTGTTTTGAAAATGTATAGCCCACGGTCAGTTTTAACTTTAATTTATAAAGAGATAAAATAAAATAAAATATCAAAATGTTGACAACTGCTATTTGCCACACATTTCTTTATAGGAGAAGCTGGTGAATCTTCATTGTTTTTGAAGATTTTTTCAAAATACTTCAGAATTTCCTGTATTCCTTCCCAACCCCTCTATATCCCCATTACGTCTAACTCCTTTCCTCCTCCTCTTCACTTTCCTACTCTTCTTTCTCTAGCCCTCCTCTCCTCCACGCTCCTTTTTCCTCTTTCTCCTCCTTTCGACTATCTTTGCTCAGATTAGCTAGCACTTCCAAAGTAAAGGTAGGGAGGGCGTTGAAAGAAAGCAACTGAGAACTGTTAGGAGGTTGTTTTGTTTGAAAAGCACTGGTATTGATTGATTAGGATACAAGTGTTACAATCTGATCTATTTTACATAACTATAGGAGCATTATGGGTAACAGTTTTTCAACTAACATTTTCCAGGTTTTAAACTAACTTTTTGCAGATTTTGCCGTGGCCTCAGTATCAAAATAAACACGGACCTTGATTTGACTGCCTTTAAATTAATTAATTAATTACACTGTGGCAGCACACAGGCATTGAACCCATATCCCAGGATATTACCTTAAATACTCGGCCATCTTTCTTCTCAATTGGTCTAACTAAATTAGTCTAACTACTATATTATACTTCATCTGAAATAATACAGGGAATTAGGAGTAGTACAAAAACATACACTTGCCTTTCAAAGCGCTCTGTCCCCAGCTGCCTTTTGGTGATATCTAGCTCAGACTCTAGCTGAGTTGTTGTATTTCTGAGCTGAGCAAAATCTCGACTCTGGATAGCACTGTAAAGTACATAAAACTGTCATTTGATTCAGAAAAAAGGGGCGACTATAACCTTCCAAATATATGAATATACACAACTGATTAGTTATCAAGGGCAGCATTAGAGTGCAGTTCACATGAACAGTTTTTAAAAGGAGTTAAAAAAAATCTAAAGGGGAAACATATTGTATGGTACAGCTGCTGAATCAAAAGCAGGTATCAACTCTTGGACTTCTTCCATTTTTAAGAAGTTATTCAGGTGCTCTAACTGCTCAAAAATGCAAGTAAATAACCAATATACGTACATAAATCCCGAAGAGAGACAAAAATCACTTCTGCTCAGATAATCAAATAGTTTTATCTCTTGGTCATTTACTCACAGTTTATTCTCAGCCAGAGAAAGCTGCTCTTTAAGAAGCTGAATTTCAGATTCCTTTTCTTGTTTGGCTATCTGAGACTGAAATTCTTTCTCTCGGTTGGACACCAGCAAAGATTCCAGGTTTTTCATAGAGATTCTTTCATTAGCTAGTTGTTTCCTCAGGAGTTCTACTTCAGAATGAGAAGACTCCCATTCACTCTGCAGCTGAAAGACAAAGATTTTCAGGTTTTCCATTTATACCTATTTAGCCTATTGACCATTCTTTAATATACTGCATTAATTTAAGATTACAGGATGGCTGCTGAAACCTAAATCATCTTTCCAGGTCTCAAATGCCCAACTTTCTACTACCCAACAGTCAAAAACTCCAGTTCCCTCTCCCCTCAATAACTTTTACAATGCAGTTCTATATAGGTCAATACAAAAATCTGCAGCACACTGAAAACTGAAAGTTTGGAAACAGCATAAACTTAATATGAAATAAATGGTATAAGGCATACTGTAATATGAGGAATACTGTAATAACAGTATTATTCATGATCACTTTAATTCATAAAAATTTCCAATTTTGAATATACTTCATGCTGCCATAGACTTTCCAATTTGTTGCTGATTTTTGCAATGGAATGCTGTAAAAAGTAGGGACCTGTTTGGCAGAGTACACATAGCTTTGTGTAAAGTGTACGTTAAACAGTGTGCAAAGCTAGAGACAGTTTCCAAACTTCTGTCCTTCCTCCAAAAACACTTCCCAGAATCTAATATACATTCAAGTTGCTTCCTTCTTTTCTGGAACTTTTCTCCCTCTCCACAATCACTAACAGCCCTCCTACTTGATGAGCTCATGGAAGGATCCAGCAAGTCTGGTAATCTCACATTACATCTCAGACAGCTTCAGTCAGAGCTCATATAGAGAGGGTAGTCAATAGGCAGACCACGGGCCTAATCCGTAGAGTCCTGCAAATCCGCAGCTATCCGCATTATATCCAAAGACTATTTTTGCAGATCGCGGATTGGATGCAGATACAATTTTTGTATCTTCATAGGGCTCTACTAATCTAGACTGCCAGATGCTTTTGAACAGACCCCAAAATCTTTTTATTTACTTATTATCATAATTTTTTTAATTATCATTATTTTCTCTGGAGTTTGGACCTTGACCAAGAAATTTGGACCTTGACCAAAAATAATTGACTACCCCCGTCATACAGTATAAGGCTTCCCCTGCACATCGTATCTGAGTGTCCACTTTGTTCTTTTGCTGGGGGCCTGAAGGACATTCACCAACTCACTGCTATGGCAATGTGCTGGCTATCAAACTTAGATATAAATTTGTAGTTGTTTCTACCTACCTACATCATACAAAAGAAGAAGAAGAAGAAGAAGGCTTCCCCTATCAGAAGCATCTCAGAATGTACAATTGAGCTATAGCCCAGCAAAGAGACTACCAGACCTCACAATGTTATCTTCAAAGGTAGAGGGTCTGTTATGGAGGAGAAGAAAGATAAAGGAGAATGCTGGAAATCAGGGAAGGAAAAGAGGAATGATCTAGTGGTGTTGGAAGGAGGGACAAAAATAAAAATAAAGAAAGGCTGAGACAGGGAATGACACAGAGGAGGAATTATACTGAAAATATTTGAGTAGTATGAATAAGTGTCCATATTCTTCAGAGCTTATCCAAATTGAAGCTTTTGAGGTTTGTCTATCACCAACTTTAACTTCACAATGCTTGTGAAAATCAGGGCCAACAGAAACATACTATAATTATCAAGCATACTAAATAACCTTATGGACAAGACAGCCTATACTCTACATCCTACAAGAGTCAAGTTTGGGCATCTCAACATTCCCTCTGGGAAACTTCTGTGTAAGCAGCCAGCTACTCCAAAGGAAGATGACACCAGGTGTACGGATTTAAAATCCAAGGCTCACATTATCATAAGTGACTAGTGATTTTAGCTGCCTCAATTTCCGAGGTGTCCAATTTAAGACACCTCAAAGGGGCCTGATTTTCAGAAAATATTGTATTTTCAGAGTATCTTCCCTCTGAAAACCTTTGGACATGCTTCAAGTCATCACCAGTCCTTTTGAAAATTTAGACCCAAGGCACCAAAAAAAATTTCTCTCTTATAAACTGAAATGTAATTTTCACATGTAAACTGTTCTTCCAGTACATATTATTTTACATACCCTTTCTACTTCTTGTGCTGTAGAGTTTAGTTGCCGATTTAGTAGCTCTTTGCTAGAGTCTAATTTAATACAAAGCTCTTGTGTAGATGTGAGATCTGCAAGTATGGAGACTTTCTCCAGCTGCACATTCTGAAGCTCCTCTTCCATTTTCATAAGAGACTTGTTTATGGTAGAAATCTGTGACTTGTAGGCTTTTTCTGTTGTTAAGTGCTGCCAAAACAAATGGTCTAAGTAACAATTTGTACTGAAAATTATTTAACACTATCCAAAAACCTGATCTTATTAGAAAACAATCCATACTGTTTTTGAGAAACTTCCTATGGAAAATGAAAAAAAAACATCCACATTCTTTTGTAAAACGTCAGAACTTCTGAAAGATTCTAGAGTAAGTTTTAAAATAAACTTTTCACACCCCTTGTATCGAATAACTAAAAAAAATCTTGTTTCTGATCATAAAGTTGTCACTGACATTTTGGAATCCCTATTTGGGATTTTGCAGTGCCTGTTGAGTGGATATCTTTAAAATTCTGCTTTCAGCCTTACATTCAGTTTCATAACAGAATCACTTATCTGAACAATAAAATAAATCCCATCTTTCTATGTATAGAAAACAGACTGAAAAGGGAAAAAAAATCAATGACTATTTAAGATATTGTGAGTAATACTTACATTGCTGTCACTTGTAAAATGAGACACTCCTATGGAAGTGACCAAAAAAAAAAAATCACACCAAAGAAGCATTCCCAAGATGACAGCCACAGGTCTTCTCACTAACATCCTTGTTAGGGCAAGCACATCCTGGTTTACCAGGTATGTCCATGGACAGTGCGTGAATCGCCGGCTCAGGGAGGCTAGCTCTCAGCCCCACCCCTTCCACCCGCCCGAGGCCCTGCCCCTTCCACCCCCACCGGAGTCCAGAGGCTCTCCCCCCGCAAGTGCGGCCAACATCCCAGTCCTGCCCCAGGCTAGCCCCCTAGCCCCGGAGCACCAGGAAGGCGCGCGGCCACAGGCTCCCCAGCTTGGGAGGATGGGCAGTCCCAGCCCCAGAGCGTGGGAGGGCAAGCAGCGCGCCGTCACAGCCTCCCCAGCCGGAGCACTGGGGGGCTGGAGCAGGACTGGAGCCGCTACACACAAGGAGCAGGGGGTGGGGCCACGCCTGGCTGTTTGGGGAGGCACAGCCTCCCCCAGCCTATGCGAACTGCCGCCCATGGGTATGTCCCAATCTGAGGAGGCAGTGCCAGTGTCCTGGCCAGTTCTAGTGGAACTGAGATTTTGTTCCAGTTTTACTGGATCACCCAAACATTTGGTCCCACATTGTTAACGGTATTTAGATGTTGTTACGCTCAGCATTGTAACTCCTAACTGATTCAGGAGCCTAAATCTCATTTTCAAATGGGAATTAGGCTCTTAGGAATCTAAATTCCATCAACAGCCTCCTAAATCAGTGGCTAACAGAATTCCAACCCATGCTACTACAAGATACAACACGGTCCAGGATTCTTCATAAAATTGTGTCTTTTATCCCACCTGTCTTTGCAGTATGCAGTAGAAGTAGGTATTATACCAAATCTTTAAACAACTGCAGAGTTAAGATATTGCCAGGCATTGTTTAGGTTAGGGTGATTTTTAAGATACTATGCCACCTTACTTGCTCAATCTCTATTTCAAGGGACTCCATTCTTTCTTTCAGCCTGCGGCTCTCGGACTCTGTATTGAGGAGCATCAATCGGACAGAACTGCAATCTCCCTCCGCTTGGTGGAATTTTGTTTCCCAGCTTTCTGCCTGTTCACTGGCTCTGTGGTAGCTCTCCGAAAGTTCAGAGTTCTCTCTCTCCTAGAATACAGAATCTGATTTTTTTAAACTGATCTTCTGCATTAAGTAGGACAAAATAAATATGGGAAGCATAGTATCTACAGGGATGACACAAAGAGTCTGCCCTTTCAGCCAAGACATCAAATAAAAGGTTTCTCAAGAAGCAGAATGTTTTGTATCTGCTTACATTTATCTACTAGCTGCATTTTTAAGTTAAATGATAAAAATGAATTTCTTCAATACAGTGATATGCTTCATTCATGTTTTAAATTAAAAATTCCTGAACAGACAAATGATTGGAATAATTCCCTATTCCTGCAGATAAATGATTTTCAACTCTGTATACTAAATCCTAGAAATACCATTAAGTTACAAGTTCTAACATTTATAGATATTATTGAAATATACTTGGAATAGTTCATAGTGAGAAAAAAATGTAGTGAATTGTTACCACTTCATGGACTAATGTCAGCACTATTACTAATGGGGGCTGTGTGCCCATTCTGTTGTGTACAGCACTCCTCAAAACAATGGAGGCAAAGAATACCATGGGAGCACACAGATGATTGAGTTCAAGCATTCGCAAAAGTCCCTGGACAGTGATTAGATGCTACATTTCAGTCACTATTGATCCAATCTGGTATTAAACCAATGACCTGGAGATACAAGACACCCAGTCCCTGCATCATACAGTACCCCATCTTATGAACTTTGAAAAAAACCCGAACCACAAAAAAAGAGTAAAGTACACTTCTTCCTTGCTTGCCTAATGCAAAAGAAGTAAAACTGCAACTCAGCTTTTGTTACCCATATAGCTTTTTCTATCTGTCTCACCTACATACAAACACTTACTATAGAATTCAATGTGCTCTTCAGTCTGGCAATATCTGAGCTTGAATCCTGCGCTTTCAACTTCATATCATCAAGCTCATTATGACACTTTGCAAGTTTTTGGTGTAGAATCTGTGAAGAAAGATATAGTTTTTCCACAAGGTTAACACTCTTTATGCCTTTAGTTTCTTATTCCATTTTACTAGCAGGTAAATAGTGAATATTGCTTTGATGCATAGTTTTTTATGATTAAAAGTTGCAAAAAAATTATAAACTCAAACATTTCAGCTGTGCAAACACATATCAGAAAAATATTAACATGATGATTAGACTTCTAGTTAATCTTCACAGATTAACTTTTATAAAAAGTTTAAGAGAATATTTGAATCTGTTACAAAACAACATTCTGCAAAAAACATACATTAGCCAACTAAGACAAAAACAATTATTTATAAAAAGGAGCAGAGGTAACTGGTGCTAAAGCTCTTCAGCAAAAAGGTAGGGGAGAAGAGGTCAGCTCTTTGATAGGATTTTAAAAGGTTCTGATTTATTTGTGAGAGACAGTCCAGGATGAAACTGTTCCATAGGGCAAGAGCAAAATGATTAAAGCCTCAAAGCACTTCCTGCTGGTCCAATAAAAGTTGACCGATTACACAATGCTGGCTTTCTTCCTTACTTCCAACTGCTTCCACAGGCATCCTGACTCATCACTGCAAAGAAAAACCTGGAGCCCTGTAAAAGTAACTAGAAACAAGAAGGAGCAGCAAGCTTTGCTGTCTGTCAGTTGGTCTACACACAGAAATTACACCAATTAACAACACTAATAACACAGCCGTTTAAGAATGTCCACAGAAGGAGGGGTTGCACTAATTTAACAAAATCAATTTGGAAATATATTTAAATCAATGCAATTTCTGTGGGCAGATTAGGCCTACATTAAACCACTGCTACTTAAGAAGAGAAGAGGAAACAGGAGCCTCCTTCAGCTCCTATCTATCAAAACTATCTAGCACAAGCAAAAATAACTTTGCAGTGAAGGGGAAGAGGAAAACACTGAATGCTGGAGATGTCCTCTCAGCCATGGAGGAAATGGAGTTCCAGAGATTCATAGCTCCTTTAAAGGAATCATTGGAAGTTTACAGGCGTGAGCAAAAAGGCAAGAAAGAAGCAAGGAAAGACAAAAACAAGAAGGCAGACTTTGAGGAACAAGACAAGAGCAAAGAGGAGGAGGAGGATGATGATGATGATGATGATCGGATGGAGGAGGAGGAACAAAATGCTGATGAAGAGGAGGATAACTGAGCTTCCTGGAGAGACAGACATGCACATAGGTTGGGCTCTGTTCCTAGGGATATAAATATTGTAAATAAAAAGAAAGAATCTCAACAAGAGAAAAGAATAAAACGTTCAAGACATCAGAGAGAAGAGAACACCAGGTGACTGGGCAACATACCCAGAACAGTGAACCAAGTTGCAGGAAAGCATCTGCAGAGCAAAGAGGACAACCAGGCAACAGGGGAGAAGATGACCATACATGAGACAAGCATGTGCAAGAGAGAAGAGGAGCTAAAGGAACAGAACACTTGGGAGGGAAAGAAAGATGACAGTGTAATACTTATTTTTAAAAGGACAAAACGTTTGTCACCTTAAAGGCAACTAAAATACCAAATACTTTCTTAATATTACTTTTCCATGTACGCAATTGGTGTAGTGGCGCCTCAAGTTACCTTTCTGTGATCCACCCTATGAAAAAAATTGAGAATCCCTGACCTAGAAACTTATTTCACACCACTTGCAGATGAGGTATAGGAGAAAACAGGACAGACAGGACAGAGCTGAGATTAGAAACCAATCAGCAGATCTGAGTTTAGTTCTTTTGCATATAATAGCACAGAAATTACATGCAACACTTTGGGAAATATGCAATTTTACCTTTCAGCCTAGGTTTCTGTACATAGATATACCTGATTTTCCTTCTTAACTCTATGAAGTTGCTCCTGCAACCTGTCATTCTCCTGAGCTAATGATTCTCTGTCCCTGCCAGTCTGAGCAAGATCATCATTGGTTTCATCCAGTTGTTGACGCAATCTGGAGATATCCTCCTCACAGATGCATAGAGCTTCAGTAGACTGTCTATGCAGCAAATAAGGCAGGATGTAATAAATATTTCAATATAACAATAATAATTAGCCTAACAAGAGTGATATATTTCCAAGGAGTCAAAGAGTTTACAAATAAACATTAAACAAAAGCAGGTATAAAATAGCAAGTCACATTTAATAAGGTAATAAACTAATAATAATTTATTTGTTAACACATTTAGATTTCAGTGGCTAGTGTGATACAGCAGGGCCAAAGAGCAGCAGGAGAGTGATTTTTTTTTAAAGTAGCTCCACATCCCACAGGAAGAGTGATCTTATTGGGTGCTGGGAAGTGGGTGGGCACAAGCTCACCCTCTGCTAAAGGCCCCTTCCCCAGCCTGGGGAGGAGCTACGGAACCCAACTCAACTAAATACAGGGGACAACGAAAAAACAAAACAGGAACAGGTGTGGGGGTCAAAGGGCCAAAACTAGGGAACCGGAAGGGGACACTGAGCAGAGAACCCTGGACAGTGCCCACTGCTCCTCAAAAGTGTCCAAAGGAGCTAGCAGACACCACCCAGAGGAACTCTGCCCGGATGCGTGAACGGATAAAGGAATGAAAACAGGCCCCACAGTTGCAGAGCCCCCCCTCAGCCAACCTCCTCTGCCTGGTGTTATAAATGGCCACCTTGGCCATAGCTAGGAGGAGGTTGACGAGGAGGTCCCTCGACTTCATGGGGCCATGGATGGGGTGTGCATAAACAAACAGGTGCAGGGAAAAGTGCAGCCAGAACCTCAACAAGAGGTTTCTGGAGGTGCTGGAAGAGGGGCTGCAACCTGGCACACTGCAGATAGACATGCGCCACGGTCTCCCTCACACCGCAAAAAGGGCAAGCATCGGGAACAGGGGTGAACCGCACTAGGTACATGCCCGTGCTCACTGCTCCATGAAGGAGCCGTCAGCTAACGTCCCTGGCGGGCCATGGAACCAAGATGGAATACAGGCTGGCCCACCACGGTCCCTCATCTGCTACAGCTGGTAGAAGGTGCCGCCGCTTGATGTTGGGGTGGGACACGAGTGTAAGGAATGAAAAGTGTGGAGCACAACCGTGTAAAGATGGTCCCATGGTGTGGTTCGGAAGCAAACCAGCTGCAAATCGTGCAGCCGGCGCGGGGTACAAAGGGGTGGGGGCTGAGAGGGCTCAAGGGGCAGGGGCCTGATGAAGAGATCTGGAGGGCCTGGGGTGAGGGGCAGGCGGGGGATACCCTTTCACAAGACCCGCTTGAGGAAAGACCTAGAAGTGGGCAATAAGGCTCCCTCCACCTCCCAAAGTATGCGCCGGGAGGTACCAAGGGTGGAGAGCCCCATGCTTCTGCCGAGCGCATAGGGATCCACCCAGTCCCCCCGGTCGTAGTCCAGGAGGTCTCTGTTTGTGGTAACTTCTGCCAGACCAACCTCTGGCACACTGAGGGTGACACTGCCACCTGCACATGAAGATGAAGATCTGCCCCCTCGGTGGCCGCCACGGACCTGGTAGCTGAAACCAGCTTCCAGGTCCGGAGGAGGTCCTGGAAGAAGACCGGCAGCTCAGAGAGGTCTCGCGGAAGACCTCTCGGATAGAGATAAAAGAGCTGACAGTCATATTGGAGCCCTCGGAGGCAGCGGTGCAAGGCGTGTGCCAACGTACTCCACGCCGAGCTATCTGCACCATAAAGGAGTCTGCAGGGCCTGGAGGCGGAAGATGTGGACCTGGTGTGCCTGCGCACACCTGTCCTCCCTTCTCCAGGGGAAGATGCAGAACCCCTGCAGAGACCCAGTGCAGCCCTGGGCCAAAAGAACTCCAGAACCAGCTTCTGGAGCTGGGCCAAGAACCCCAGTGCTGAGCACAGGGTGTTGAACCAGTGCCAGAGCATGGACAGGACTAGCTGATTGAGCACCAGTGCCCTCCCCGAAGGGAGAGGCACCGGAGCAGTCCTGCCCACCTCCATAACCGCTCAACCACTCTGCCCTCCAAATTGTGCCAGTTCTCCAGCGCAGAAAATTAAACGCCGAGATAGAGCAGTGGACCTGCGTCCCACCAAATGGCCTGAAGCGAGGATGGGAGGGAGCTTGCCTGCCACCCGACCATCAGGCCAGAGCTCTTGACCCAGTTGACCCGGGCGGAGGAGGCCGCCGAGTACAGCTTGGCAGGCCTCCACCCACACCAGGTCGCCTGGGTTCTGGACCATGAGGACCATGTCATCGTCGTACGCTGACAGGACCAGCTGCATCTCTGGCTCATGGAGCACCATCCCTGTCAACCTCTTTCAGAGGAGATGGAGGAAGGGCTCAGCTGGCCTGACAGTGGGCAGCCTTGACGCACTCCTCGCCGGAAGCTGACGGGTTTGGTCAGGGTCCAGTTGAGCCTGACCAAACACTCCACAAAGGTGTACAGCACCTGGAGAAAACCCACAAATCGGGGCCTGAAGCCAAACGCCCACAGAGTGCCCAGGAGATACCCATGGTCCATCCGGTCAAACGCCTTCTCCTGATCCAAAGACAGGAGGGCGAACAACAGACCATCTCTACGCCCAAGCTCAAGGAGATCCTGGGACAGCGTAGGTCTGGTCAGGATGGACCACGTCCGCCAGCACGGACCCCAGTCGTAGCGAGATGACCTTCGCCACGACCTTATAGTCTGTGCTGAGGAGCGAGATGGGATGCCAATTTCTAAGGTCGCGGAGCTCCCCCCTTTTCGGAAGCAAGGTGAGCCTGGCTCACCTGCACGACAGAGAGGGGAAACCCACTCCCCAAGGACTCAGCCCAGACGATGGCAAGGTCCAGGCCAAGGACATCCCAGAACATGCAGTAGAACTCCATGGTCAGCCCGTCCATGCCCGGAGATTTATTGGTGGGCATGAGATGGAGGGCTTCCAAGAACTCGAGCAGAGTGAGAGGCAGCTCCAGCCGGTCTCAGTCGCCCACGCTGGCTGTTGGGAGTTTGTCCCAAAGCACCCTGCAGTCATTGGAGTGGGTCGGATCCATGGAGAAGAGGCTGGCGTAGAAGGCTCTGGTCCTCTTACGCATCTACACCGGATCCGTGAGGGGGGCACCGTCCTCCGCCAAGAAGCGCATGATGTGCTTTTTCGCCCCCCTCTTTTTCTCCAGGGCGTAGAAGAAGTGGGAGCTGCGATCCATCTCCCACAGGAGACGGATGCAGGATCGAACAAAGGCACCCTGGGTCCGACACAGGAAAGTGATAGATGGGAGGTATATAAACCCCAGGATGATCAGAGCCTTATTCCCTGTGGACTGCGGAGAGATTACTACAGGTTAATTAGAGCACCTGGAGCCAATTAAGGCCCTGCCAGAGGCCTAATAAAAAGCCCTGCTTCAGTCAGATGAGAGAGGGGAAGGAGAGCTGACTGTAGTTTGGAGGAGTACTGTTGTTGACCAGAGGATCAGAGCACCAGGGGAAGGGAAACCCTGCTCAAGCAGAGCAGGGTGATTCCCCAGGCGCAGAGGACCGAGAGAAACCCTGCCCAAGGGGAGAGAGGTCAGGAAGCCTGAGAAGCTGAAGGGAAAGAGTAGAAGCTAGCCCAGGAGAAAGAATTACAGCTTCAAGTGCTTAGTCACTGTCCATAGGGCCCCTGGGCTGGGACCAGGTCCCTTCCCCACTCCTTTTCCCTCTCCCATCAGGGCACTAGCGGAACCATCACCGCCCAAGAATAGGGTTCAAGAGGTGGTGCCCTGACGCATCACACAAAGGAAAAGCACGGGACCCACCATAATAGCGTTGACCATTTGCCACACTAGGCTAACAATGCAATATTTTCACAGATTTTATAGTAGTCAGACTAAAACCTCTATGATGTTGTAACTGGAATCTGAGACTTACTTTGATGATTGCTCCATCTCAGAAATGAGATCCCTCAAACCTGAAATGGTCTCTTCCTTGAAAAGAGATTAAAAAGTTCAGTAAACCTGTTTCTCCCCAGTTAATAAATGAAAAGGATTGAGCAAAATCAGAAATACTGCTTTTCTGGCTCAGTTAGCTCTTCAGTATTTCAGTGCTTGATGTAATTGTCTACATTGAAACTCATTCTGGTTTTGCAAAACTTCACCATACATTTTATAGAGAATCACTATGCCAATAGTATACAGTACTGTGACTTGGTCAGGACTTGTAAAAGTCTAATCACCAACTTGCCACTGGGGAGTGGAGGAACCAATAATATTAACTTCTGCAGAATCTAAACTTTTTTTTTTTTTTTTTTTTTTTTAGAACTTACATTTCTTCATCCTCCATGGTTACAAAGATAATCTCCTGAATGTGAACCAAATGCTAGCAGACACAGTGCTGTCTTCCTAAGACTGCTGACAATTAGCACTATCTTCTCATAGCTTTCCTATAGTGCAGCTAAATGAAAACTAACTAGAGTGTCAGCTTTTACTGCTGCCATTTAATTCTGCTGACAGCCCGGAAAGCAGGGATACCAACAATAATCAAATCAATTTCATTTTGCTGCAGAAAGAGGAGGCTTGGAAAGAGGACCCAAAACTGGATGGAGACACTTTCCCATACTGGAGCAAAACATGATGACCTTGCATGCTGATTCACTGGTACAAATTCATTGATGATTCAGGGGCCCCATTCTCTTCAAAGAGAAACAATTCTTAAATGAACAATTCTTTTTCATAAAGCTTTAATGTCAGGAAAGTTGTTGCCTATGCTGTTAGCTTACAGACCATTCTGCAAGCTACTGAACATACTTAAAATGATTTAGTTAAAACTGGTGCAAATCCCTGTGTAGACAACTTTATTATACTTTAAGAGTGATTTATTTCAATTTAGGTTAAACTGATGCCAAATCAACTTAAACTAAACTGAACACGTCAAAACTGAAATAAGAGTGTTCACACAGAGGTCTGCACCAGTTTTAATTAAATCAGTTTAAATTCATACCTTAAATTAAACCAGTGCAATTTTCTCATATAGACAAGCCCTTAGGGTGCAAAGGATGTTGTTATTCAGAGCCAACTGCAATAAAAGAGAGCAATGCAATTTTGGGCTGAATAAACAAAGGCACAATTCATGGGAGAGGGAGGAAATAGACCCTTTCTATATGGCTCTGGTATAAACAAAGCAGGAATTAAGTGTTCAGCTAGTCAATCCCATCTTTTTGGGGGGAGGGATAGCTCAGTGGTTTGAGCATTGGCCTCCTAAACCCAGGGTTGTGAGTTCAATCCTTGAGGGGGCCACTTAGGGATCTGGGGCAAAATCAGTACTTGGTCCTGCTAGTGAAGGCAGGGGGTGGGACTCGATGACCTTTCAGGGTCCCTTCCAGTTCTATGAGATAGGTATATCTCCATATATTTAAGTGTCCAGAACTGGAGGGAGTTTAGAAGACAGCAATAAAATGATCATGGTGCTGGAAAGAGTTAGAAGGAAAATTTAAAAGAGATAAATATGTAGTACTTGGTTACATAAAACTGAGGGTATGTAATTGTAGTTCACACATACTCATGTGAGCTTTACCTGAGACTAGCATTGCTAAAAGTAACAGTGTAGATGCGGGGGGACGGGGTTCATTGCCCCACCTGGAAGAGAGGGTTACTCACCTTCTGCAGTAACTGAGGTTCTTCGAGATGTGAGTCTCTGTGGGTGCTCCACTTTAGGTGATTGTGCGCCCTGCACCTATAGTTGGAGAATTTCGACAGCAGTACCTGGCTGGGCCGCACATACGCTCTCCCTGTCTCGCGCCTGCAACGGCAATTAACTAGTGCTGTGCAGCTCCCCCACCCCCACCCAGTTCTCTCTCTCTATCGCAGAGGACTTACTTACAACTCTGAAGTAGAGGGGAGGGTAGTGGAGCACCTACAGGGACTCACATCTTGAAGAACCTCAGTTACTGCACTATGTGAGCAATCCTCTTTCCCCGCCCCCCCCCCCCGAGTGGAGTCCCTGTGGGTGCTCCATTTTAGGTGACTGTAGAGCAGTGCCCCTCAGAGGAAAGGAGGGGCTTCGGAGTTAGGTCTGAATGGACGATAAGACCATGTGGAGTGTGTTCTAACACATGACGGGGGTTATAGGTCATGTTGTTGGTAACAGAGCTGAATGCAATCTGAAATCCATCTGGAAAGTCTGTGCTTAGAAATGGGTTTGCCTTTGGAGTGGTCCATGGTGGAAAGGAACAATCTAGGAGTTTTCCTGAACAATCTGATCCATTCAAGATAAAGAACTAGCACCCTTCTGACGTCCAGGGCATGGAAAATTGCTTCTTGCCTGTCCTTGTGAGGTTTAGGGAAGAACGTGGGAAGATGGATAGGTTGATTGATGTGGAAGGAAGAAGGGACTTTCGGCAAAAATTTGGGGTGAGGTCACTGACCTTGTTTTTGGAAAAAAAACTGTATAGGATGGTCCAGCCATAAGAGCACCAATTTCTCCCACGTCTCGCAGACATGATGGCAACTAGGAAGGCCACCTTCAAGGAAAGATGTAGAAGAGAACACGTGGCCAAAGGTTCGAATGGGGCAATTGTGAGAGATCGAAGCACTAAAGTCAGGTCCTATGGGGGCACTGGGGCTCTGGATAGAGGTTGCAAACTCCCTGGAGGAATCTTTTGGTAACTGGGTGAGCAAAGACTGAAACGCCGTCCACTTTGTCATGGAATGTTGTAATGGCTTCCCGATGCACCCGCAGTGAAATCATTAAAAGGACGTCTTTCTTAAGGTAGAGCATGTAGTCCAGGACCACTGGTATGGTAGAGGTGGTGGTGCTGATTTGTTTATTTAGGCACCACATGTGGAATCTCTTCTGTTTGTGGAGGTACGCAGCCGGTGTAGTGGGCCTTCTGCTGTTTAGCAGGATGTCTTTAATGTCCTCAGAACAAGTTGTCTCCTCGCCCTGGAATCATTGAGGAGCCAGGCTGTGAGATGGAGTGACCCCAGGTTTGGAAGCAGAGTCTGACCCGTGTCCTGAGAGTGGACATTTGGAAGAAGCAGGAAGAGACGTGGGGGGCATGATGACATCTGTTTCAGGTATGGGTACCAGGTTTGTCTGGGCCATGCTGGTGCTATCAGAATGACTTTGGCTTGATCGATTCTGATCTTGTCCAGGACCCTGGACAGCAATGGGGTGGGAGGAAAAGCATACAGGAGGGGTGCGTGCCGTGAAATGAAAAAATGCGTTGCCGCTGGATCCTGATCCCAGTCCCACTCTGAAGGAAAAAGCTGGACATTTGCTGGGTTTTTCTGGCATATAGGTCTATTGCAGGGAACTCCCATAGTTGAAATATGACTGGATCACGCAGGTGTTGATTTCCCGCTTGTGGTCGTTCGTGAACCTTTGACTTAATGCGTCGGCCATGATATTCTGAGACCGAGGCAGGGAGGTGGTTGATATGGTGACATTGTGTTGTATGCACCATGTCCAGAATTTTATGGCCTCCGTACATAGGAAGTGGGATCTTGCTCCTCCCCGTTTATGTGGAACATGCAGGTTACATTGTCCGTCATGATCTGTATGTTTTTGTCTTTGATCAGAGGCATGGAGTGTGCACAGGGATTGTGAACTGCGTGAAGTTCCAGTACATTGATGTGGAGTGTTGATTTGGAAAGAGACCATCTTCTCCGTACTGTAAGCTTGCGTAGGTGGGCACCCCCACCCCAGTAGAGAGGCATCCATTGTGATTATCAATTCGGGAGGAGGCTGAAGGAAAGGGACACCTGTGTAGATGTTGTGCGGGTGAGTCCACCATTGTAGCGAGTCCTTGACCTTCATTGGCATACTCAGAATTTTATTCAAATTGTGTTTATGTGCCATGAACACTGTCTTGAGCCAACTCTGCAAGCAGTGCATGTGCAGCTTGGCATGTTTCACCATGTATGTGGTCACCACCATGTGACCTAGTAGCTGAAGACCGGTCCTGGCCAATATCCTTGGGCTGTGCACTGAGGTATTGATGAGGTTCGTTAGAGTGGTGAATCTCTGAAAAGGTAATGATGCGGGTGTTTCTAGAGAATTTAGGTGCACAATGATAAAGTCCAGTTTCTGGACAGGCATTAATGTGGACTTTTGGATATTTATTTGTAGACCGAGACTGGTGAAGAACGACATTGTCTGGTGCATGGCTGCGACGGCTTCTGCCCAAGTGTGAGCCTTGATTAGACAGTCATCTAAGTAGGGGTATATCATGACCCCGTGCTTGCGAAGGTGAGCTGCTTCCAGAGCAAGGACTTTAGAAAATGCTCAAGGAGCCGTGGAGGATAGTACTGTATATTGGAAATGGTCCTGTCCCAGTACGAACCGAAGAAATTTCCTGTGTGTAGGGCGTATAGTAATGTAAAAATATGCATCTTGCAGGTCGGGGTCTGCAAACCAATCCCTTTGCTCCAGTGCTGGAATGATTGTAGCTAACGTAACCATCCTGAATTGTTGTGTTCTGACGAATTTATTTAGCTTCCTGAGATTGAAGACGGGTCTCCATCCTCCAGACTTCTTTCAGGTTAAAAAATAATGGGAATAGAAGCCCTTCCCTCTGTGATGTACCGGAACTGGCTCTACCACGCCCATTTGTAGGAGATGCTCCACTTCCTGTCTCAGGAGGGGCTCATAATAGGGGTCCCTGAAGGAGGACGGGGAGGCAGGGTGGGTAGAAGAGATGAAGAGGAACTGGATGGCATAGCCAGTCTTGATGATTTCCAGTACACATCTGTTGGAGGTGATGGTTCACCAGTTTGGTTAGAACGGTGTTAGACAATTGATAAAGGGATGGTTGGTGGGAGGTAGCGTTGGCAGCAAAAGTTGGGGGAGGTCTGGCAAGCCCTTGACCAAACCTTCAAATCTGCTGTTTAGAGGTTGATTGTTAAGCTGTGGTGGCTTGGGAGGAGCTTAGTCTGCGTCTGGGTGGTCTCTGTCTGTGCCTCTGGTTATCGTATTGTCTCGGTTGCTGTGTGTATGGGGCCTGTCTGGGGCGCTGTGATGTATAATACCTGCCTCGTTTGTGTTTTGTTGCAGGTGTACAGATGCCAAGAGACCTGATCGTGGCCCTCAAATCTTTCAACGAATGGAGCAACTTGTCGGTCTTGGCGGCGAACAGTTTTGGACCCTCGACAGAAGGTTCTCCACAGTGGCTTGGACCTCCCTAGGGAAGCCTGACAGATGAAGTCAAGAGGCTCGGTGCATTACTATGGAGGTGGCAATGGTCCTTGCTGCTGTGTCAGCAGAGTCCAAAAGAGGCTTGGAGGGCAGTTCTAGCTAAGAAATGGCTCTCAGAAATGAACGATATAAACTACTCTTTTGTCATCTAGTATGTAGTCAATAAAGTCAGAAAATTTTGAATAGTTTATATGGTCATACTTCGCCATAAGGGCTTCATAATTGGCAATCCAGAAGTGGTGTCGCTGATTAATACGCCTTGCGACCAAGTAAGTCCAGTCTTTTCCACTCTTTATCATAAGGGGTGGTTCTAGAGTAATGCTCTTTGCCCCATTCGTTAACTGCATTGATTGCCAATTAATTTGTCTGAGGGTGTATGAATAGAAATTCCATCCCTTTTGAAGGGATGTAATATTTTTTGTCCACTCTCTTACATGTGGCCGGGATGGCAGCAAGGGTCTGCCAGATATTTGCAGTGCGTTCCATGATTGCTAAGTTAATCGAAAGGGCAATCTTGGAGGAGGTGGACATGTGGAGTATGTCCAAGAGCTCGTGGATGTGACTCAGACTTCCTCTAGGGTTATCTGGAGCATCGTCGCTATTCTTTTGAAGAGTTCCTGGAAATTCCTGAAATCATCTCCAGCAATAGGCGTAAGGGGCATAACAGTCTCATCTGGTGAGAATGAAGTGCAAGTGGCAGGAGCTGCCTCCTGAGCTAAAACTTCTTCCGTCTCCTCAAGGCTCTGTTCGGGAGGGGCAGCTGGTGGCACTGTGGATCTTGGTGAAGAGTGCCTATGTACCTCGCAGTGCCACTTAGGGGTTTGGGGTAAAACTGTCTATAAGCTGCCCCTGGGTCCCAGAATGCCCATTGAGGTGGTAAGGGCATAGGTGGGGGCCCCAAGGGGTGACCATACCACCCTTGCAATTCAGACCCTGGCGGAGGCTTAGGATACTCCTGATGTGCGGACTGAACTCTGCCTTGCATAGGTGAAGAGTGTTGGGAGGAGAGAGCCTCCCCTTCCTCCTCCTCACTAGAGAAAGGAGAAGCGGCTCTAGTTGGCGGAGTGAGCAGTAGTGAAAGTACCGAAGCAGTATTGGAACTGAAGAGAAGTGATTCCGGTACCGGGGCAATTTTCAGATCCTTCAGAGCAAGGAACTGTTGAGGCTGTGGTACCATTTGAGGTACCTGTGTGAAAAGTGGTACAGAGAATAGGGGACCTTGTGGTACGGGTAGGAAAGGAGCTGACAGACAGTGTGGCAATGTGTGGTGCAGTGTGTGTGCTATTCAACATAGGACCAGCAGGTGGTGCTGTTGCCTTTTGTACTGCAGAGTTGCTCCATACCAAGCACTTTTTCTGTGCTGCCTGTGCCGAATGGAGGAGGCGGTCTTCTGCCTGCCCTTCTTCTTAGAGCCTGCCCGCTTAGGGTCTGCGGCTGTGACGGTACCACCAGTACCGGAGGTCCTTGCTGACTCAAAGGTACTAAGCTGCGGGGTGGTTGGTACCGATCTAGTGGACAGAAGTGGGGAACGTTCCCTCTTTGACATGGTCTTGGTAGGGTTTGTGTTAGTTCTCCTCTTTCCAAGTACTTTAGGAGACAGGTCCCTTTCTTGTGGTGTGAAGGAGAGGGGTCTGTCGGAAGCCGCCTATGGTGATAGGGCGGCAGGAGAAGTTTGTTAGCTCGGGCCTGAGGCAGGACAGAGGGACTTCTCCAATAGGATAAATTTCAGTTTAAGGTCCCTCGCTTTCCTAGTCCATGTCTTAAGATTGTGGACGGCAATGGGTGGACTTCTGGGGCACATGAGTTTCCCCCAGGCACCAAACACATTGCAAGCGTCTGTCAGAAAGCAGAATTGCCTCACAACAGGAGAGGCAGCGTTTAAAGCCAAGTGACCCTGGCATTCTGAGGAAAATTAATGTGCCTTAAGGGGACGAAAGGAAAAAAAGGTTTTGATTTTTTTTTTAAAATGAGGAGAAAAAGAAATAAAAGGTTCTTAACCAACTAACCTAACTGCACTAAACTACTTGACTAAACTAAATCTGAGGTAAAGTGAGTACACACGCTGCTTGAGCTCCGACTCAGACCACGGGAGATTGAGAAGGAACGGGGGCGGGGGAGGAGCCACACATCACTAGTTAATTGCCGCTGCAGGTGTGAGGCGGGGAGAGCACATGTGCGGCCCAGCCAGGTAGTGCGGTCGAAATTCTCTGACTAGAGTCGCAGGGCGCACAATCACCTAAAGTCGAGCACCCACAGGGACTCCACTCGAAGAAGAATTCTGGGTACCTACTTGCATTGCTGACACATCTACACTGCTACTTTTAGCAATGCTGGCATGGGTATATCTACCTGGGTTGCAATCACACCTTGGACTGCAGTAAAGACACACCCCAAGGGGAGATGTTGAATGCTTGAGCCCTGTGAAGGGCCCATTTGTACTACAAACTGGAAATATACGGTAACCATTTCAAGGGATAACAAAGTTGTAACTACACATCACCAATTTGGTTGTATTTGTTACATAAATGGGCCCTAGAAGAGAAAATAAAGTCTGAATTTCAAGAAAAAGTTTCTGAATGTGAAACTTATTAGCCTGTTAGTCTGCTTCACCCAAGGAAAGTGGTGAAAATCCCATCTCTTGGCATTTTTAAAATTAGACTGTACAAAACACTAAGAATGGGGAGCTCAACGCTGGCCTAACTCAGTTGCTATTGAAGTCAATGGGAGTTTTTTATGGACTTTAATGGGAGCAGAATTTAGCTAACACTGAGCACTTTTGAGGATCCCAATGATGAGGTGGGGGGTCCTAAAGGGTTCTTTGCATATATAACTATTATAAAAAATGTTTTAAAACTAATGAATCAATAATAAATTATATAGAAATTTACTTGCAAGAACATACTTTCATTGCCAGGGTTTCTTGAAAGGAAGAAATTTTCTCATTTTTTTCATCCACACATTCTTGTAAAGAGTCCTTTTCTGTATCCAGCTCAGCAATAGTTTCTTTGAGAATATGGACTTCTTGTTGTTGTGCAAGGTTTTGTTTCGAAAAGTTATCTGCACATAATCATAAAGGCCTCATTTTTATTAACTCAATTTAAAATAATTATTTTCCATTTCACATAGCTTGATACACTTCTAAACCACAAGAAAACACAACTAAGGCCAAGAACCAGCAAAGCACTGAAGCATGATGATAGGGACAGAAATAGTCCCACTAATGTCAATGGGACACCAATGTATACCCCAAATTAAGAAACACGGTAAAAAAACTAAAAAAGAGCCACCGTGGCTTAACAACCATGTAAAAGAAGCAGTAAGAGATAAAAAGACTTCCTTTAAAAAGTGGAAGTCAAATCCTAGCTAGGAAAATAGAAAGGAGCATAAACACTGCCAAATTAAGTGTAAAAATGTAATAAGAAAAGTCAAAGAGGACTTTGAAGAATGGCTAGCCAAAAACTCAAAAGGTAATAACAAAATGTTTTTTAAGTACATCAGAAGCAGGAAGCCTGCTAAACAACCAGTGGGGCCCCTCGATGATAGAGATAGAAAAGGAGCGCTTAAAGACGATAAAGTCATTGCGGAGAAACTAAACGAATTCTTTGCTTCAGTCTTCACGGCTGAGGATGTTAGGGAGATTCCCAAACCTGAGCCGGCTTTTGTAGGTGACAAATCTGAGGAATTGTCACAGATTGAAGTGTCACGAAAGGTGGTTTTGGAATTAATTGATAAACTTAACATTAACAAGTCACCGGGACCAGATGGCATTCACCCAAGAGTTCTGAAAGAACTCAAATGTGAAATTGCGGAACTATTAACTAGGGTTTGTAACCTGTCCTTTAAATCGGCTTCTGTACCCAACGACTGGAAGATAGCTAATGTAACGCCAATATTTAAAAAGGGCTCTAGAGGTGATCCCGGCAATTACAGACCGGTAAGTCTAACGTCGGTACCGGGCAAATTAGTCGAAACAATAGTAAAGAATAAAATTGTCAGACACATAGAAGAACATAAATTGTTGGGCAAAAGTCAACATGGTTTCTCTAAAGGGAAATTGTGTCTTACTAATCTATTAGAGTTCTTTGAAGGGGTCAACAAACATGTGAACAAGGGGGATCCAGTGGACATAGTGTACTTAGATTTCCAGAAAGCCTTTGACAAGGTCCCTCACCAAAGGCTCTTACGTAAATTAAGTTGTCATGGGATAAAAGGGAAGGTCCTTTCACGGATTGAGAACTGGTTAAAAGACAGGGAACAAAGGATAGGAATTAATGGTAAATTCTCAGAATGGAGAGGGCTAACTAGTGGTGTTCCCCAAGGGTCAGTCCTAGGACCAATCCTATTCAACTTATTCATAAATGATCTGGAGAAAGGGGTAAAAAGTGAGGTGGCAAAGTTTGCAGATGATACTAAACTGCTCAAGATAGTTAAGACCAAAGCAGACTGTGAAGAACTTCAAAAAGATCTCACAAAACTAAGTGATTGGGCAACAAAATGGCAAATGAAATTTAATGTGGATAAATGTAAAGTAATGCACATAGGAATAACCCCAACTATATATACACAATATAATGGGGGCTAATTTAGCTACAACAAATCAGGAAAAGATCTTGGAGTCATCGTGGCTAGTTCTCTGAAGATGTCCACGCAGTGTGCAGAGGCGGTCAAAAAAGCCAACAGGATGTTAGGAATCATTAAAAAGGGGATCGAGAATAAGCCGGAGAATATATTATTGCCCTTATATAAAATCAATGGTACGCTCGCATCTTGAATACTTAGTAGAGATGTGGTCTCCTCATCTCAAAAAAGATATACTGGCACTAGAAAAGGTTCAGAGAAGGGCAACTAAAATGATTAGGGGTTTGGGAGGGTCCCATATGAGGAGAGATTAAAGAGGCTAGGACTTTTCAGCCTGGAAAAGAGGAGACTAAGGGGGGATATGATAGAGGTATGTAAAATTATGAGTGATGTGGAGAAAGTAGATAAGGAAAAGTTATTTACTTATTCCCATAATACAAGAACTAGGGGTCACCAAATGAAATTAATAGGCAGCAGGTTAAAACAAATAAAAGGAAGTTCTTCTTCACACAGCGCACAGTCAACTTGTGGAACTCCTTACCTGAGGAGGTTGTGAAGGCTAGGACTATAACAGCATTTAAAAGAGAACTGGATAAATTCATGGAGGTTAAGTCCATTAATGGCTATTAGCCAGGATGGGTAAGGAATGGTATCCCTAGGCTGTTTGTCAGAGGGTGGAGATGGATGGCAGGAGAGAGATCACTTGATCATTACCTGTTAGGTTCACTCCCTCTGGAGCACCTGGCATTGGCCACTGTCGGTAGACAGGATACTGGGCTAGATGCACCTTTGGTCTGACCCAGTACGGCCATTCTTATGTTCTTTTGGACTACTCGCATGCTTAAAGCCTGTGCTTGAGTGCTTTGCTGGATCAGGGCCTAAGCTACTAAAGACTCGATGCAAATTTACCCCCTTTTAGGGTGTTTTGTTAATTGCAAATATTAAGACTATTAAGACAATAATTATAATAACTCAATAATGTAAATTGAAGTGCCTAGGAAATAGGTTTAAAACAACAGAGCAAAATGGAGTGCAAATTACAATATGTAAAGCTGGGTATTATTAAACTTTCTTGTCCATGCGCAAAACATTGGTCTTCTCTGTTATGTTAAGAGAAAGGCGTTTACTTAAGAGAGAAAGATCTATAAATGCTAATTATAAACCAAAAAAGGACACTGAGTATTCCACACAAGAGTATTCAGAATGACTAAAGAAAATTAACAAATTAATAATAAAATGTCATGTAAATACTGCAAGACACTTTTAGTAGGCTGTAACTGAATTATATGACACTAAGGGTAAGTCTACACTGCAGATGGGAGCATGCGTCCCAGCAGATAGACAAATGCTGCTCAAGTTAGTCTCTAAAAATAGCAGTGTGGCCACGGCAGCATGGGCTAGCTGGCCAAATACAATCACACCAGACCCCCTGGGTATGTACTCAGGTGGCTAGCCCAGACCACCTCCTGTGCTACTGGGTCCACACTACTATTTTTAGCGTGCTAACTAGAGCAGAGCTAGCATGTGTCTCTCTATTAGTTCTGGAAAGCACGCTCGCAGCTGCAGTGCAGCTACACACATACATACGTACTCTATGTAAAGCAAACATAGATCATGCTCTATCTATAACTTGTGAGAAATTATCAAAAGTTTTAGTAGTTAAGAAATAACTAATGAAATGTTTTTGACACAATGAATGCCTACATGCATATGTATTACACACAAGGCAACTAAATTAAAAAGAAAAGTATTGAGGCTGCAAAGTCAAGCACTCAATACTCCTGGGGGAATTCTGCGCCAAAAAATGCAAATTTCTGCACCAAAAAATGCAAAATTCTGCACATTTTATTTGTCAAAATAATGCAATATAATCACATCAGTTCCACTTATTTTGGTAATTTATTTAAATTACCATACAGAAAAAAAAATCACAATAACTGTTCAGCATTTCCTAAACACATGAAAGTTAAGTTACAAATACTTGGTAACCAAGACCCTGAATTCCAGTTATAATCCTGAATTTTCATTTAAATTACATTACTTTTATTTTGGTGTTCTGTAAAGTAGAATGTCACTTTAAATTGCTCAGACTTCCACACAAGAAAGTCGTACAGTTTTGCTAATCATTGTCCTGCATTTTTTTTAATGGATAAGTAAAATAGATCCTGAGCTGTAATCTAACCCAATTGTGCCTCTCTGGCAAAGGAAAAAAAGCAAGAAAGCACTTTGACCTTCCTAGCTGAGGATTACATTACTGTCATTTAAAATAAGTCTCCTTTACACCACTCTGGCAAGGTAAAGGAGCCTTAATTGACTAAGAATGGGAACATTAGCAGCAGAGGTGAAAGTAAGCCGGTCCGGTATGGCGTACCGGCAAGAGCCAGTACGCCGTGCTGGACTGGACCGGCTTCCCCAGGCTGGCGATTTAAAGGGCCCGGGGCTCCTTGCAGTGGCTGGAGCCCCGGGCCCTTTAAATCGCCTCCCGAGCCCTGCTGCCGGAGCCCTGGGTTAGCAGCAGTAGGGCTCTGGCGGTGATTTAAAGGGCCCGGGGCTCCGACTGCTGTGGGGACCCCCGGGTATTTAAAGGCCCCGCCTCTTCCGGTTGAGGCCACACCCCTGCTCAGGACTCCAGAGTACCGGTAAGTCCTTTAAGTTACTTTCACCCCTGATTAGCAGCCTGCCTGTTTAGTTGTTACATTTTTGCTCTGCCTGAGGGACAGAGCCTGCTTCACACAGCCCTATGTCTCCAAGCCCAGGATGCAGCAACAGCAACGAACAGTGAGTCTCTCTCACCCATTCGCACGCAGACAGGTGCTCAGCCCCACCCCCTGAATGTCTTTTCATGGACGCATGCCCAGCATCCCTCCTCTCCCCTGCGGTGATCTGCTCTCTGCTGCCAGCTGCTCCCATCAGACATGCCTAGGCTGCTGCTGAAGGGGCGTGTATTCCCCACAGATTTCTTTGCTGTCCCATTTTTCTGCGAGGGAGCCAAGAAATGAATTCTGCACCCCCGCAAGGCACAGAATTCCCCCAGAAGTAAGTCAAAAGTTATGACAGACCAGAATTAAGGTTGCCTGTGCTACTTTAGTTCAGTCTCCTTATGCATACATATTATCATACATCATTTAGTTATATTATTACAGTTTTTCCCCTGCCTCATTCAGTGTACAGAATAAGGGGTGCTCACTCAGTGAGCTGCTATTCAGTATTTGTTTTCTCCTTGTTGAACAACTTGTGCTCCCAAGACTGAATTACTGCATACTATTCATACTCTGCTTTGAAGAAATTGTTATTAATTTCCCCCTGAGTTTTTCTATGGCGCTCATCACTACAGTATTCGAGTGCTTCAAACATTAATTTATTTTTACAACACCCCATCTCAGCACCTTGCAGGATTGGGAGCTACAGTTTGTTAAGCAAATATTACTGATGAGCCCAAACAAATCAAATGGGTAACAAAACTTATTGTTCAACTAATAATATGAGTAGTTTATCAGGAATAACTTTATTGATAACCATCTTAATTATGCTGGTCTGAGATAGGGAGAAAAAACCTTCTAAAAACAGAAAATAAGTTATTTGCTTTTTGTTGATGAAAGTAAGAAAAAATTTTTTTGATGTACCCATGTGCTTTCCTCTAGCCATAAAATATAAAACTATTTTAATTTTGAATTTCTGGTGACGAATTAATTGTTTTGCCTTTGTACTACTGGAACACTTAAAATAGTATAAAATAAAATAAAATAGTTGATTAAACATTACTTTTTATATAACGTGGAAGAAGTGAGGAAGAGAAAGCAATACTACCATTAATTTTAACTAAATATCTAACTCACCAATTTTTTCATCCAAAACCATAATTTTCTCCTGGGTAAGCTGTAATTCATATTTTTTTTTAGCAAGATGTCGCTGCGTCTCTGAAAGACTCTGTTCTGTCTTTTCATTTAATAAGCTGTAGAAGTATTAAGAGTGACAGCTTTAATGCAAACGTATATTAATATGGCTTTTCTCACATTCTGTAATGTCACCACAACTGCCAAAGTTAAGTAAATCAGCATTTCTTGAGATATTTCAAGTAATCTCGGATATTGCACCAACATTTATCTTAGTCTATCTTTAATTATGAACGCTGGTCTATTCCTGTGAAGAATCCCACAGAATTAGAGGTGTTTTGAGAGACTGGACAGCTCAAAGGATTAGAATAAGATAAAAAAAGCTTTTAATCAACTATAAGCTCTGATTAGACAATGCCTAAGACTGGGATGGGCAAAGTTACAAACTGTTATAAATCATGACTGAGATGCACTGATAGAGCTAGATCAGGGATAGGCAACCTATGGCACGTGTGCCGAAGGCGGCACGCAAGCTGATTTTCAGTGGCACTCACACTGCCCGGGTCCTGGCCACCGGTCCGGGGGGCTCTGCATTTTAATTTAATTTTAAATGAAGCTTCTTAAACATTTTAAAAACCTTATTTACTTTACATACAACAATAGGTTAGTTATATATTATAGACTTACAGAAAGAGACCTTCTAAAAATATTAAAATGTATTACTGGCACGCGAAACCTTAAATTAGAGTGAATAAATGAAGACTCAGCACACCACTTCTGAAAGGTTGCCGACCCCTGAGCTAGATAGTGAAGCTTATACCTGCTCATACTGTGCTTTGGAACTGGAAAGAGCTATTAGTGCTACTTTGAAGGTATAACAAGAACAATCTTAAAAATAATTGAAATTAAGATAAACAAACAGATTTTTTTTTATGGTGCTCATGAAGCTGAGATACTAACAGGAAGTAGCAGTAACTTTAGAGCAGGGTTTCTCAGATGTTTTCATAATATTGGGCCACATCTTAAAAGAGAGAGAGTGTATCATGGGCCAGCCCCACTCGCATTCACAATTCTGTGGAGCAGCTCTCCTGTCCATCATAGATCTATTTGTAACAGTGCAACATTCACATGGCAACTACAGCAATTACTTGTAAGTAACAGTAGACATGTATCTGAAGTATGTTTAAGGGGAGTAGATTTTTTACCGTCTTGGAAAAGAATCACAAGATCTTTCCTTCCAATGTGTTCCCCTCTCTCCTGTACATGCTTCTGTGCCACCTTGTCCTCTTCTTCCCCAATTCTCTGCACATGCTTCCCTTTTGTTGATCTTTCTCCCTTGCCACCTGATTCCCCTCTTCCCTCCTGCACATGCTGCCTAACTTGCCTTCTTCCCTGTAGTCCTCTCCTGAGGGTGGCTCATGGCTCTTGTCCCACTAGTGGCTCTTAGTAGTGGCTAGAAGTTTCAGTCAGGCTGGTAGCTCCAGTCCTTGAAAGAAGCTCCAATATCATTTCCTCCTCTTGGAGCCTCTCTCAAGGACAGAGAGAGGACAGCTTGAGGAGGCTGAAACCTGGCTATTACATGAAATGTATGTTTGTTTCTGTATTTACTTCAATTTATAGAAGTAAAGAAAGGTCTTAAGGGAGTTACAAAACTTAAATATAAAATTAGCTGCTGACAATATCCAACAAAATGTAACCCTTAAACACTCCTAGAAAAATCCCTAACCCCACATAAACCTCAATCCCCATCAAATTTCACCTTTTGCAAAAGCCAGAGAAAATAGATATGCCTTGCAGCATGCTCTGAAGGTCAACAAACCTAGGCTATATCAGACGAAGGTGAAGGCTGGGGAAGGGAGAAGAGCTGATTACAAATCTGAGGGCCCCTCATGAGAACAGTCTGTCACAAGCTCCTTCTCCTTTAAACAAACAGAATAGCTTTGACAAAACAGTGGATATATGCTTATTTTATAATTGCAGTAGTTTTTATGTATATGCTTTTATTTACCTTAGTGAAGCACATTCTGCTTTTTGTCTGCTGAGCTCACTTTCTGAATCCAGTGCCCTTCTTGCCAATATTTTCATCTCCATTTCCACAGAATCTATGGTCTCTTTCATCAGTGCTATCTTTGATATTTGTTCCAAACGTTCACTGTCAAGCTATAGGAGTAAAATGACTAGACATTAAGAACTGCCGGGAAAAAAAAGTTACTAACCTTCTTGTAACTGTTGTTCTTCAAGATGCGTTGCTCATGTCCATTCCAATTAGGTGTGTGTGCGCACGCGTGCACGACAGATGGAAGATTTTCCTCCTAGTATTATCCGTAGAGTTGGCCTGGACACCCCCTGGGGTCATGCCTTCATGGCACTCGATATAGGGCCCTGCCAACCTGCCACCCTCTCAGTTCCTTCTTGCCTGCTACTCTGACAGAGGGGTAGGAAGGTGGGTATTGGAATGGACATGAGCAACACCTCTCAAATAACAACTTTTATGAGAAGGTAACTGTTTTTTCTTCTTCGAGTGACTGCTCATGTCAATTCCAATTAGGTGATTCCCAAGCCTAAATTTGGAGGCAGGGTCGGAGCTTAAATGTTCGCTGACTGCAGCACTGCTTACCAAAGGCTGCATCGTCTCCGGCCTGCTGGGTAATGGCATAATGCGATATGAATGTATGAACAGAGGATCACATCGCCACTCTGCATATTTCCTGGGTTGGAACATGTGCCAGGAACGCTGCTGATGAAGCCTGTGCCCTGGTGGAGTGTGCTGTGAGCGGATGCGCAGGTACCTTCACCAGGTCGTGGCATTCCCAGATGCAGGACGTGATCCATGACAAAATCCTTTGGGAGGAGACTGGAAGCCCTTTCATTCTGTCTGCTACCACAATGAACAACTGAACGGACTTCCGGAATGATTTGGTTCGCTCAATGTAAAAGACTAATGCCTGGTGAACGTCTAGCAAGTGAAGTCTTTGTTCCCTGCTGCTTGTGTGCAGTTTAGGGTAGAAAACTGTGAGAGAAATGTCCTGGTTGACTTAAAATTGGGAGACAACCCTAGGGAGGAATGCTGGCTGGGGTCTGAGCTGAACCATGTCCTTGTAGAACACGGTGTAAGGAGGCTCTGATGTTAAGGCCTTGAGCGCTCCTGGCTGAGGTTATAACTACCAGAAACACCACCTTGTACGAGAGGTAAAGCAGAGAGCATGTTGCCAGCGGTTCTAAGGGTGGCACCAGATTGAGGTTCCAGGCCAGGACCGGCTGTCGGACATGCGGATATAGCCTGTCGAGACCTTTCAGGAAATGGTTGACCATAGGGTTGGCAAAGACAGACCAGCCCTTTCCACCTGGATGGAAGGCAGAGATGGAGGCCAAGTGAACCTTTATTGATGACATGGACAGCCCCTTCTGCTTAAGATGGAGAAGGTAGTCTAGTATAAGGGAAATAGACATGAGCGTCGGAGACAGATGATGTTGCACTGACCAGATTGAAAATCTCTTCCATTTGGCCAGGTAGGTAGCCCTAGTGGAGGGTTTCCTATTGCCAAGGAGGATTTCTATGACCGGGTCCGAACAGAAGAGCTCCATCGGGTTCAAGCCATGGAGCTACCACACCGTGAGGTGCAATGACTTGAGGTTCGGGTGCTGGAGACGCCCATGATCCTGAGTTATCAAGTCTGGGAAGAGGGGCAATGTGATTAGGGCTTCCACGGACATTTCCAGGAGAGATGTGTACCAATGTTGATGGGGCCAGGCTGGGTCTATCAATATCACTGAGGCCTCTGAACTTTGAGGAGCACCTTGTGAACGAGAGAGAAGGGAGGAAACGCATAGAGGAGGTGGTCCCCCCAAGGAAGGTGGAATGCATCCGCGATGGAGGCTGTGATTCAGGAAGGAGCAAAACTGCTGGCACTTCCTGTTGCGTTGCATGGGATGAAAAGGTAAGGCAGGATGGATCCAGTCTTTGTACTGGTGCGCGGTTCTCGTTCGCACCTTCAAAGGGCCTGCTTCTGGCCTGATGAGGGTTTCGACTGGCCAGAGCCCTGACCAAACGAGGGGTGAGGTCTCTTCCTGGAGTTCACATCTTCATCATCTGGACCCATGGAAAAGAAGCCCTTGAGGAATTCCACCATGATTTCAATAATTTCCATCCTACCATCAACCTCAGCCTAGATCAATCCACACAAGCGGTCCATTTCCTGGACACTACTGTGCTAATAAGCGATGGTCACATAAATACCACCCTGTACCGGAAACCTACTGACCGCTACACTTACCTACATGCCTCCAGCTTCCATCCAGGACACACCACACGATCCATTGTCTACAGCCAAGCTCTAAGATATAACCGCATTTGCTCCAATCCCTCAGATAGAGACAAGCACCTACAAGATCTCTATCAAGCATTCTTAAAACTACAATACCCACCTGCTGAAGTGAAAAAACAGATTGACAGAGCCAGACGAGTACCCAGAAGTCACCTCCTACAAGACAGGGCCAACAAAGAAAATAACAGAACACCACTAGCTGTCACCTTCAGCCCCCAACTAAAACCTCTCCAGCGCATCATTAGAGATCTACAACCTATCCTGAAAGATGATCCTTTACTCTCACAGATCTTGGGAGACAGACCTGTCCTTGCTTACAGACAACCCCCCAACCTAAAGCAAATACTCACCAGCAACCACACATCACTGAACAAAAACACTGACCCAGGAACCTATCCTTGTAACAAAGCCCGATGCCAACTCTGTCCACATATCTATTCAAGTGACACCATCATAGGGCCTAATCACATCAGCCATACCATCAGGGGCTCGTTCACCTGCACATCTACCAATGTGATATATGCCATCATGTGCCAGCAATGCCCCTCTGCCATGTACATTGGCCAAACCGGACAGTCTCTACGCAAAAGAATTAATGGACACAAATCTGACATCAGGAATCATAATACTCAAAAACCAGTGGGAGAACACTTTAACCTGTCTGGCCATTCTATGACAGACCTGCGGGTGGCTATCTTAAAACAGAAAAACTTCAAAAACAGACTCCAACGAGAGACTGCTGAGCTGGAATTGATATGCAAACTAGACACAATCAACTCAGGGCTAAACAGGGATTGGGAATGGCTGAGCCATTACAAACATTGAATCTATCTCCCCTTGTAAGTATTCTCACACTTGCTTCTTATCAAAGTGTCTGTACTTGGCTACCTTGATTATCACTTCAAAAGTTTTTTTTCTCTTACTTAATTGGCCTCTCAAAGTTGGTAAGACAACTCCCACCTGTTCATGCTCTCTGTATGTGTGTATATATATCTCCTCGATATGTTTCACTCAATATGCATCCGAAGAAGTGGGTTGTAGCCCACGAAAGCTTATGCTCTAATAAATTTGTTAGTCTCTAAGGTGCCACAAGTACTCCTGTTCTTTTTGCGGATACAGACTAACACGGCTGCTACTCTGATATTTGTCCTCTGCAAGCTCTCCTGCCTATTCTGCGGGAGCTGCGGCCTAAAAATGTTTCTGCTGTGTGGCGGGAGAGTGAGTACATCTTTCTCCCGAAAAGGTCCAATTTTTTGGCCTCTCAATTTTTTGCGGAGGGCCCCTGGTATCCCTGGTGCTCGCACTGGTTGGCCGCATCCACTACCAGGGAATCCGGCGGGGTGTATGTATAAAGATGTTAAACCCCCTTGGAGGGGACAAAATACCTTCGCTCATCTCTTAGCGGTAGGAGGCAAAGAGGCCGGGGTCTGCCACAGGGTCTTAGTGACTTCACTGATAGTCTTTATCAGTGGCAGTGCAATACGGGATGGTCCAGGAGGGGAAAGGATATCCACCATAGGGTTGCATCCTCCACCACTTCCTCTGTCTTGATGTTAAGGTTCTGGGCCACCTGTCTCAGCAGCTGTTGTAGAACCCTGCTGTCCTCCAAGGCCGGAGCAGTCGATGTGCCAACCACTGCCTCGTCTGGGAAGGAAGAGGACGAGAGACTGACTGGAGCCAGAGCCTGCTCTCTCTTGTTAGCCCCTCTGGGGTCCCAAAGAGCGAGGATCTCTGGTACTGAAGCCGACGGGAAGGTTCCTGGAGCCAAGAGCGTCGGTGCCAGTGCCTCAGATGGTATCAGTGCTGGAACAGTCAATGCTGGTATCGTGATCGGCTGCATTACCATTGATGTCCCTGGTGCTGAAGGTGTCTGCGGCAGCCCAAAGGATTCTGAGACTACCAACACTGACCTGGATCCCTGGCTCTTGTGATAGGCCCAGGGTGTCCAGAAGGGCCACTGAGGTAGGGCTTGCCACTGACTCGGCCACGGTGCCAGGTAAGGCTGATGGTCTCTGTGGGATGGGGACCTACTGCTCCTACTGGAGCATGATAACTCCGCTTCCGACTCTGAAGTCTCCAACTGGGACAACCACGGAGGTGCAAAACCCCTTGGTGCTGGGGATTGATACCGCGAGCTGTGGGACCAGTGCGGCTCCTCCACACAAGCGGCAGGTGCCGGAGAGCAGTGCGCCAGGGATGGTGCACATAGACCCATCATCGCCAGCTTGCCCACTGATTGCACCAGGGCCCGAACCAGTGCCAGCGACCTCTCCCACCTGGGAGGGGAGGTTGGTGCCATAAGTGCCAAGAGACCTGACACAGCTTCAAACGCCTCCAGTGTGGAGGGGAGCTGCAGGTCTTCATTGTGGCGGGCTGGCAAGTGATGGGGGTCCGGACATGACTGAACCCCCGCTGGGGCAGGAGTCGACAAAACCCATGGCGGCTGAGCCGCCTGGTCCTTAGGCCTGGCTGGAGAACGACCTCTGTCAGGTTTCTTCTTCTGAGGTACCGGGTATTGTGACCGGTGCCTCACGGAGATCTGTGGCATGGCTCTGTGCATGGAGCTATGGTGGTGCTGAGGGTCTCTGGAAGAGTCCTTCCTTGGCACCGGCTCACGGGTCGAGGGTGCCGGCGCACTGCACACCAAAGAGGAGGTGCTTGGGGCTGGCTCCAGAGCGCTAGGGTTTGACTGGGGTCAAAGAGCTGCCTCCATGAGTAAAATACGGAAGCGCTGATCCCGGTCTTTTAGACGGGAGAGGTCCTAAGACAGAACCCTCTGCAAATTTTGCAGCGCTCCCTGAGATAACCCTCGCCGAGAGACGTCAAGCACGGAGTGTGCGGATCGCTTCTGGGCAGACCTGCAGCCTATACATGCCTTGAAGCCTGGGGACCGAGGCATGCCCCGGTGCTGGGGGATCGTAGTGGGGGGAGAACCCCCAAAGGAAACTTAAGAAACTACCACTAACTACTAATAACTAACTACGACTATATACAATGGAGAGAAAGGACACTGCCAAGAAAACGTGCTTGCCGAGCCAAAAGCTACGGGACGTTCCAGCTAGCCATCACTGGCAGCAAGAAGGAACTGAGGGGGTGGCGGGTTGGCAGGGCCCTATATCCAGCGCCAAGAAGGCGCGATCCCAGGGGGTGCCCAGGCCGACCCTACTGATACTGGTAGGGGAAAAATCTTCAGGCTGTTGTGCACGCGGCACGCGCACACCTAATTGGAATTGACATTAGCAATCCCTCAAAAAAGAATATGTCTTATATCGAATATTTCTTCTGCTAGTTCAAATTCTACTCTGATTTGTACTGTAAATCTTTTATTTGACAGGCAGATCTCCATAGCATCTTCTGTGCTCAGGGGCCTGATTCAAAGCCCACTGATCAATGGAAAGAAATTGGAGTGTGCGTCTCATCTTTCTTGTAGTATATCTATGTATCTGACATAGAGCAGCACTGGCAAAACTATACTATTTGCCTGAGACAGATGATAGAAAGAAAGTGAGAGTTACTGGGTCATATTTTTCAGCTCTAGTAGTAGGTTGCCCCACTAGTAGAAATCTTGGTTTGGTGCTTATGCCCAACCATAAAAGTCATATGGTGCCTAAAAGAATTAAAAATCACAGAGTTGGATGATATAGCACAAGGTATTGTAACATGATGATGATGATGATAATTAGTGAAAGAATCACAGTGCAGTAAAATCACTGCATCAAAAATGTAAGACATAGCTCTCTCCTGAGCAAAGACACCCAGATAGATTACTGTAGAGCATAAGGCTCCAATTTAAGTCTTATTAAGCTATCCCTGTAGTTCCCTCAGTTCTGTAGTCCAGAAACAAAGAATAATTCCAGAATCTCAATTTGGAGAATAATTCCAGAATCACAATCCCTGCAAACCACCATTAAAATCAGATCACTTCAAAAAGATAACAGGTTGATTAGTAAAAAGTTTCAGCTTAATATTCAAAGAAATCACCTGCTCTAATCTATTTAAAGATTTAACACTGTAAGAAAAAAAAAAAACCTATACAAATTCTCCACCTTCTTCTCTCTCCTAGTTTACTGATTCACTACGTTACTCTAATCAATGGTCAAACCATTTGAGAGCAAATCAATAAGACTCCTGTACATTCAGCAACTTTCTCAACATTAAAATCACAAGACCCGAATATTGAAGTACCAGCCTCCATATTTATCAAGTGAGTTGCAGAAAGAAAAGGGTGTCTATTAACCAAGGGGATTCCCAAGAGAATGAAGAGTACAGAATAACTATTTAAACTTGTAAATCAGGGCTTAAATTCTCAACAATTATTTTCCGGAGCCCCCTCCCCCACCACCAGGGCTCCCGCGGGTCTGAAGCCCTGAGCCACAAGGCTCCCGCGGGTTTGAAAATATTTACCAGAGCTCCGCTGTGGTGGGCTCTGGATGAATTTAAGCCCTGCTTGTAAGTAAATGTTCAGTTACTGGTATATTAGAATCTCACTTTGAGAGCAATACAAGCTTCCATTACATTCTTCAATGTGGATGAACTCAAGTTTTTACTTCAAACACTATAATCTCTGAAACGATATATTTAATATGTACATTTTCTTTATTAATGTTTTTCTTTTATAAATTAAGGACTCAATCCAGCAAACATTTTACTCATCTGAACAATCAAATTGATTTAAATGGGACTATTCAGGCATGTACAGTTACTCATATGTGCATTTTGAAAAACAGGCCCTAAAACTATACCCGCAGATCTTTAACCACAAATGTCACCTTTATGACATTAATAACAATTCTATATGTAAACAAGACATATTTTCCTTACATCTTGAACTGTTGATTCCAGCTCTTCAATTCTCTGTTCCAGGTGAGCCCTCTCATTAAATGCAGTCTCCTGGGCAATCTGTTTCAAACAACAACAAAAAATACATACAAAACGTTACTTTTAAAGTTCATTGCATACATTTAGTTTAACCACATATTGGATACCACATCGCAAACTTAACTATATTACGATGCTATAACAAGCTGGGATAAAAATCAAACCTTTAACCTCTCCCTGAGGCTATCTCGTTCTGTGGTCATCCTTCGGAAGTCAGAAAGAGCCGTATCCCTTTCTGCCTCCACACGCCTTAAGATAGCCTGGGCTGTCACAGTTGTTTTAGGAATCTTGGGGGATTTGATAACATCTCGGCGAAGTCGGGATATTTCTTCCTGTGCCTGTTATTTTTAAACACATGTGAAACGTGAAACAGATAATGTAATGTATTATGGACTACATATTTTACAAATAAGGCTTGTCAAAAATTTTCCATCAAAACTTTAACAGAAAATTGGATTTTTCACTGAATGTTTTTGCAAAAAAAAGTCTGCTTTCTGCAGAAAATTGAGATTTTTTCCATTGAAAAACGAAGCACCTGAACATTCCAATGCTGCATCACCTGCTCTCATCAAGAAAGACTATGGTGCATCATGGGAGATATAGTCTGAACTGGAAGCTTGGCCTATAGAAGAAAATAGAAGCATGAGGCACCAAAACTACAACTCCCATAAGATGCTGCAGTGGCATGTCCAAATCAAACTATTTACATTATTGGCAGAAATATTTCAGTTTTGGATTTTTCAAAAAGTCAACATTTTCACAAAAAATTCTGACCAACTTTAATCACAAGACATGTGACTAGTGATATAAGTGCACCTCAGCAACGTTGTGGGTAATGAGGTTAAAGTCTGAATGCAATGACTCATGTATATATTCTTCGATTCAGGAAAGCATCCTTATTCAGGACAGCATTTATGAATGAGCTTAAATTGAAGTCAAGGGGACTTAAACACCTGCCTAAGTGCCATCCCGAAAAGGGATAAACCTCAACCATAGAATCTTCCAGAGTAGATGAGACCTGAATTTCTAATGCAAGTACAAGACTAAAATATTTTTTCCTTTAAAGTGTTTCAAATATTTTTCCACTATCTTTCTTGCTCCTGTGAATACAATTACCCGATCATAAAGAATGATGATTTTGTCTCTCTCAGCTGTTAGAACCTTGATGTTACCCTGAATTTCTGCCATGTGGCGCTCATATTTTTCCAGCATTGACTTAAGTTCTTCACGTTCTCTGAATATTTTCATAACTTCTGGATCTAAACTCATTCCCTTAAAGAATGTCAAAAAAGTTTAATGATGAGAAACAAATTTGTACACATTTCCTAGTACTTTAGGTTTTGAAACTACTACTATACACACACAATATAGAAAGCCCAGCCCTGAACAGATTCAACACAATCAAAACTAGATGCATATGCATTTTTATCAATGTTATATACTAAATACAAACACTAAATGGAGATTGGAAATCTTTCATGTGCAAAAACTCAGTCTTAATCTGACTCAGTATTCTCTACTCACTTTATATCATGGAACTAAAGGGTTTGATTCACCTTGTTTTGGGCTAGTAATTGCCTAACTATCACAAAACTATTTTTATTAAACACCTTATGAAGTATTTAAATGTAATCACAGTAAACCTTAAGAAGTGTTTAAGGAGATGTAAATCTAGAACAAGGCAGTGTTTAGCTACGTGTGAATTGCCGGAGGTTGCCATCCATTTTCATAACTAATAGACTATCTTATTACTGAACGTGGATTTGGAGCCACATCCTGTATTAGGGATTTCAGTACAAAATAAATGCATGACTGCTATACTATAATGTATTCCAAGCTTACCTGGATAGGTGAAGAATGTTTTGAAATGCTGCTACGAGTGGGGCTGTGCTTAGGACTTGAAGATGTGTTTCGAAACATTTTCCTCAAATTCTCAGCTTCACTTTTATAATAATCTCTGTCCTCCTCCAATGTCTTGATAAAGGTATCAAGTCTTGAAGGAGACTTCCCTAGTGTTTTTTCAGATTCTGTTTCTAAAATAACCTTTTAAGTGCCAAAACAAAAAAATGTGTTCATTGAAATATAACATTTTAATATGTAATGCACTTATATTTCAACACAAAGTGGATAAACATACTCTTCAAAATATTAAAGTGAAGTAACTGCTTGAGGATATTGGCACTTTCACATTTTGAAACATTTTCCCAACTATGAGTATGTAATTCTACAGTTGATCTAATAGGATGTTCAGTTATTTAGTTTCTTCCATCTTAACTACTTTTCCTTTTACAAGAGTTCTCCTTGAAACTTTCAGCATCTTAAATATAACAAAGATTGTGTACTTAGATGGCAACTTGAGAATGTTTCCTGCTTAAAAGGTAATCCTGAGCTAAATAAACTCCAAGACAAAATGGGGAAGTGATGATTAACCCTTGATACATTACCACCAAGTTAACAGGAAGCACCATTAAACTACTGACTTATATAGCAGTGTCTAATTATTATATTATAACTAGGGCTGTCGAGTGATTAAAAAAATTAATCGCAATTAATCACGCGATTAAAAAAATTAACACGATTAAACAATAATAGAATACCATTTATTTAAATATTTTGGATGTTTTCTACATTTTCAAATATATTGATTTCATTTGCAACACAGAATACAAAGTGTACAGTGCTCACTTTATATTTATTTCTGATTACAAATATTTGCACTGTAAAAAACAAAAGAAATAGTATTTTTCAATTCACCTAATACAAGTACTGTAGTGCAATCTCTTTATCATGAAAGTTGAACTTACAAATGTAGAATTATGTACAAAAAATAACTGCATTCAAAAATAAAACAATGTAAAACTTTAGAGCCTACAAGTCCACTCAGTCCTATATTTTGTTCAGCCAATCGCTCAGACAAAGAATGTTTACATTTGCAGGAAATAATGCTGCCCGCTTCTTGTTCACAATGTCACCTGAAAGTGAGAACAGGCATTCGCACGGCACTGTTCTAGCCGGCGTCGCAAGATATTTACATGCCAGATGCACTAAAGATTCATATGTTCCTTCATGTTTCAATCATCATTCCAGAGGACATGCGTCCATGCTGATCAGGGCCGGCTGTAACTTTTTTGCTGCCCCAAGCAGCAAAAAAAAGTGCCGCCCCCCCCCCCCCCCCCCAGCACCGCGCCGCGCCGCCGGAGCCTGCCCCTCCCCGCCAGACCACCCCCCCCCCAGCCCCGCCCCCCCCCGGGCCCCGCCCCCCCCCCCCGCGGAATGCCGCGCCACGCTGCCTCCCCGCCACCCCAAGATTGGCCGCCCCTTACCAGGCGCCGCCCCAAGCATGTGCTTGGTTGCCTGGAGCCGGCCCTGATGCTGATGACAGGTTCTGCTTGACAACAATCCAAAGCAGTGCGGACCGATGCATGTTCATTTTGATCCTCTGAGTCAGATGCCACCAGCAGAAGGTTGATTTTCTTTTTTGGTGGTTCGGGTTCTGTAGTTTCCACATTGGAGTGTTGATCTTTTAAGACTTCTGAAAGCATGCTCCACACTTCGTCCCTCTCAAATTTTGGAAGGCACTTCAGATTCTTAAACCTTGGGTCGGTTAGAAATCTCACATTGGTTTTGCAAACCTGCAGCGAAAGTGTTCTTAAAACGAACATGTGCTGAGTCATCATCCGAGACTACTACAACATGAAATATATGGCAGAATGTGGGTAAAACAGAGCCGGAGACATACAGTTCTCCCCCAAGGAGTTCAGTCACAAATTTAATTAACACTTTTTTTTAACTAGCATCATCAGCATGGAAGTATGTCCTCTGGAATGGGAGCCAAAATATGAAGGGGCATACAAATGTTTAGCATATCTGGCATGTAAATACCTTGCAATGTCAGCTACAAAAGTCCCATGCAAATGCCTGTTCTCACTTTCTGGTGACATTGTAAATAAGAAGCGGGCAGCATTATCTTCCATAAACATAAACAAACTTGTTTGCCCTAGCGATTGGCTGAACAAGAAGTAGGACTGAGCGGACTTGCAGGCTCTAAAGTTTTGCTTTGTTTTGTTTTTGAGTGCAGTTATGTAACAAACAAACAAAAAATCGACATTTGTAAGTTGCACTTTCACAACAAAGAGATTGCACTACAGTATTTGTATGAGGTGAATTGAAAAATACTATTTCTTTTACCATTTTTACAGTGCAAATATTTGTAATCAAAAATAATAATATAAAGTGATCAGTGTACACTTTGTATTCTGTGTTGTAATAGAAATCAATATATTTGAAAATGTAGAAAGACATCAAAAAATATTTAATAAATTTCAATTGGTATTCTATTGTTTAACAATGCGATTAAAACTGCAATTAATCACAATTAATTTTTTGAGTTAATCGCGGAAGTTAACTGCAATTAATCAACAGCCCTAATTACTACTACTACTACTACTAGGAAAAACATGAGGTTGTCATATCTGGTGTTGGTAATGGATGGTGAATTTTGAGGATGGTAGTAAACTGGAGTGTAGGTAACTATGTTAATTAAAGGTCATCTGCAAAGAAAAAAAACGGTGTGGGTTTTTTTAGATGTGTAAAGAAGATCTACCCATATTTTTCTGCTTGTTTTTTTTACTTTAAAAATGCCAGGAATGTCAAGTAACATCTTCCACCTCTTCCTTAGTATTGAGGGGGAACTCTTTGGAGGTCTCAGATGTGGACTGCGGGGGGGGGGGGGGTCAAGCCTTTATTTAAGCAGGCAGAGGTGCTGAGTCTTTAACAATGATATCTTTTCTCCCAAGTATTTCTAATTAATTTAAATGTAAATAGATGTTAAACTGAATAAGAATAACTTTCTCTTTCACTCAAGTTTGACCTGATTAGAGTCCTAATAGGTTTATATTACATCAAGCTCCCCAGTCATCTACAGAATCTTTCAGGAAAAAAGGATAGACAAAACCTGATTTTCTAATATAATAGAAATAAAGCGGGGAAGAAGGCCTGAAAGGGTTTTTTAAATATGCACTCATTGTTGTTGGATGATAAACCAAATGTTTAGTTTTACAAGTCACCTTTAAAAATTGTTGAACGTTCATGAAATAAGATCTGTACACTGTTTGTGTTTTGGCTGAGAAAAATCCCATTTCAATACGAGTTAATTTTATCGCACAGGTAGATACATGTGCTACAAATACATGTCTCAATTTAGCACAACTATAACAATACAAAAAGGCTATTTTGCTTGGCAATGTTCAATGACAAGATCACAGGAAAATCTTTCATGGGGCCCAATTCATGGGGCTCTTAATTCCCACAATTCCTACTCACAGGATCAAAGCCACTAAGGCCCTAATCTGGCAGTGAGATCTGCAGAGGGGTCCTTCTACAGGGAGCTCATTAAAGGACTGGGGTCTAAGAAGCAAGTGTAATTACCAAAAGCCTTATACTGTAGGCATGGAAATTTGTGAAAAAGCTTAATACTGTAATATGGTAAGAGGTCCATGTGATCTTGATAAATTCAAAAAATTACTTCCCAGTTAAATGAAGGAGTCTATTAATTATACCAATTTAATCTGGAAGCAAATAATATACATCCATTTTGTAACTCAGACGTTTTTGTTGCTGATAAATTGTTTATTAGACTTTTATACAAGTTTGTGTATATTTCCAAATATCATTGTTCAACGTTATGGTTATCAACATTTGGGGAAGACAGAATATTAAAATAAATATCTAAAGGATAAAATACTGGCTGTGTGTATTTCACATATATGCAGAATTCTGTTTTAGGAGTATTCAGAGCAGTCGATCATTTTGGATTTTGTAGAAAAGTTAATGAGACTCTCAAAAACAAAAAAAAATTCCAAGTGAGTTGAAAGATAAAGGATATATTATAGTCTATTTAAAGAATGAGAATTACCAATATACACCAAAATGGAAATATTCTCCATAATCTTTCTATTTTATTGAACCAGTAAAAACCAAAAGACAATTAAATGTACGTATACTAGTATTAATTGCTCTTTGAAAGTAAAAAGCAACAGAGAGTCCTGTGGCACCTTTAAGACTAACAGATGTATTGGAGCATAAGCTTTCGTGGGTGAATGCATGCATCCGACGAAGTGGGCATTCACCCACGAAAGCTTATGCTCTAATACATCCGTTAGTCTTAAAGGTGCCACAGGGCTCTCTGTTGCTTTTTACAGATCCAGACTAACACGGCTACCCCTCTGATCTTTGAAAGTAATAACCTACATAAATACATAGCTGTAAAAATACTAAGAATACATATATAACTTACAGATCTAAGTATTTTGATTGTGTGCTCCAACTTCCTAATATTGTTTTGCTGGCATCTAATTTGAGTCTAGAATAAAAAGTAATACAGATTACATTTATTTATTTTCAGGTAGTAAACAAAATACAGCATTTTTTGCCCCATTTTCTTATTCTTTTGAAGCATCTAATTGGAACTCTCTTCCAGGTTGGTTGGACTGGAGACATGCTATTTAAGAAATTGAACCTTTAAGAATTAACTAGAACACAAATGTGCAGTCAATTAGTACTTTGCCTGCATAAATTGTACAGGATCAGGACAAAGAAGGAGCAGTGTCTGTCTGGGTGAGCAAAAAGAAAGTGCAGGATCCCCTTTTACCAGATCTGCATTTTCAATAAACTTTTGGAAATTGGACCAGTTTGAGTATTCCAAGGACTAAGAAGATAAGCATGTAGATACGTTAATCACACATGCATAGCTCAGCCTACCTTCCCTCTGAACACTGCTAATACATCACACTAAATGTACTATCCATGCACAAAGTGTGATTTTTCATCACTCTGTGAAATCAAAAGCAATTTTCACTGGAATACTCAAAAGCACTTTTCTACTACAACTATTACAACTTTCATCCCTCAACCATTTTGTCACAGGAGTGGCCATATTAAAAAAAAATAGCAAGGATGTATGCTACTTTCTTCCTCACAGCACCCCCCATAAAATGTTCATTCCAGCCATTTTAAATGGCAATATTCCAGTCATTACTGCCCCAATCTTGCGATCAGTTCCACACAAGCAGACTCTTCAGTGCACGGCACTGAACCCAACAGGACTTCTTACAAGCACAAGAGCCTGCTCACATGGATACAATGCACAATTGGGGCCTTCATGGATTTTCTGGTTCTAAAATAAAATTACAAAATCTGAGGCTCTGGATGTCTTCTCTCATGTGAGATATTCTTCTTCTCCCACCAGACGGGCCCAAAATTTAGTTAAATATTTGGGACTATTTCATCTAATTTACTACAAAAACTCATTCTCTAAATTTTCACCCTACGATAGATCTTCAGCTTGTGTAAATTGTCATAGCTCCACTTATTTCAGTTGATCTGTGATAATTTACATCAGCTGAGGATCTGGTCCTCTTTTTAATAAATTCAACAAGATCTAGAACACTAGTGTTCTCCCTCTCACTTTCATATACAGTTAACTGAAATGGTACTCTTTCCTCATCTGCTGAATAAATTCAAGATACAAGATCTCAAAAGGTTCAGTCATATACTTGAATAATTTATTTAGGGTAAGGAAAGGGTTCTTGTATTGCTCTGGAACGAATTAAATTTTTTATTTTGAGCTCAGAGAAGCCAGTTTTTCATATTTCAGGTTCTATGGCAGCACTTCCCAAATGTATCATATTGGCTATAGTCTTAACAGATACAGCGGTACTTCCACAAATCATGAGATGTGTGGCAGCCTCCTCTTGACCTCTCTTCCCCCATTTAAACGTAACTCTTGTCCTCAGACATTCAGTTTAACCCATTACACTAGGAGCCCTTTTCAAGACTTATCAGGTTGGAGTGTTTCAATCTTCATTACCCATTACTCCCTCTTTCCTTTATTCATTTTTAAGTTTTAAAATGAGTAAGATTTTACATTAAAAAATAAAGAAAAATCATTTACCTTCAGGCAGAAACCATGGCTATAAAGTTTCATCCCAAAAGGTTAAATTTTATAAAACTTACTGGCTCCCCCTATAATATACGTATTCTGTTTAGCATTTAATACCTTTGCTTCCTCAAGCTCCTGGTCAGCAGTATCCAAGACTAATTCTTTTTCTTTTTCCAGCTGTTCAGCTAGTTTGTCAACTACAGCAAGTTCTTTACACAGATACTCATTCTTATTGGTCAAACTGTCCACCTGACTCACCACCACCTGCTTACTATCAAGCAGTTCCATAACATGTTGCTTTAAATCATGGTTTTTCTTCTTCAGATCGTCAATCTACTAGGACCAGGAAGAACAAAGACATTTTACTTTTCTTAATCTTAAAAGATATAAACTGGAGGCATTTCACAGCAGAAATATTTATTTACACTTTGCACTCAATTTAGTAAGACAGCGACAAGCCCAAAATTTTCATTAATTTACACTAGTAGCATTTTGTAGAGACGTAAATGACTATCCAAGGTAAAAGGCAGTGAAGAAACAGGCTCCTAATTTCCACCCTAAAATTAAGCAATCTGCTTCTGTTTATTTCTCTTATCCATCCTAGTTGTTTTCCTTTGATCAGCAGCTCCACAGATTCTTTGGCTGTCCTCTCCATGTGATGTGTACACCATTTGTTGGTCTCCCAGTGTGATATGTAACCCCCAGTGTCCCCTTGACCACCCTCACAAACTGAGCTGTTACAGTAGCATTCCTCTGATAATGCTGGGAGAAGAAATGGCTCTCATGCTCTGCCTGAATATCAATTAGTCTTGCTCACCAAGGCTTTGCAAGTATCTTTTCCACCACCTGCATGTGGGGTCTATGTGCTTCCTGTGTGGTAAAAGCCAGCAGGGATGTACTAGGTTCATTATTGGTGAAGACTGTTAATATCCCCCTAAAGGGGAGGAGGACAGGGTACCTGATGTTCTTAAGGAAACTGCTTAAGAAACAATAACATGTCAATGATCTTGCCACCTATTAACTTGCTCTGACCTGCTCACTTTTGGGGAAGGTCCCTGAGAAAGTTGTGGCAGACACCCAGGCAATCTCTTGAGTCCTCAGATTTCAGAGATCTCAGTCAATCAGGCTGGTATGATATAAAAACTGCACTAGTTGCACTGGTGAATGATTTCATAGTAATTGATAAGGATTAAGTGTCCATGCTGATATTATTGGATCTGTCAGCTGCAATTAACACCAATCACCACAATGTTTTATTGGGATATCTGCAGGCATGAATAGCAGTCAACAGACCTGCCCTTGAATCATTCTTATCAGGGAGGTCCCAAAGAGTGGTTTGGGACAAAAGTTTGTTCCTTCTGGAGGGTTCTGTCAAAATTGGGATTTTGCCAGTGCTAATTTTGTCACCCCTGTTGTTCAACTCATATATAATATTAACAGAGTTAACATGGAAATATGAGTTGCAACAACTGATGAGATCAGCTTCATATTTCCCCCACAACTGATCCAGTTGGTGCAATGGAATGAATAACCCAATGCAGTTATGAACTTGGAGAATGGATAAAGGTAAAGTGGTTGAGTCTTAAACCAGACAAAACCAAAGTAGTGTCAGCCAGGGCGATATCTGCACACTTGGTTGAGGGAATACATTATTTTTTTAAATGTCTTTCAAGTTATAACTATAACATGACCAACATTTAAAATTACAAAAATAACAAAGGTGAAGCCAGCTGCTGCTTGACACCTTCATACCTGAAATAACTAACCACACTAAAAAAATTTCCCTTACCCCACACAAACAACCTATATCATCCCCTCTATCCCCCAAGCCCTGGCTAAATAGACAGGCCTTGAAGCATGCTCAAAAGGTCACCATATTCAAGCTGTTTTGGGACATGAAGGAAAGAAGTGTTCTCCAAAGCTGAGGGCTCTAACAGAGAACACCCTGCTGGCATCTCCCTCTCCTTTATATCAACAGGATTCTAATTTGAGCAACTGTGAGAAGGTGAAATAGGCAGTTTTTCAAGTACACAGGCTCCAAACCATTTAGGGTTTTTCATATAAAAAGTAACACCTTACATTCTACCCAAAAGCCAAAAGGCAGATAGCACAGATCACGGAGCACAAATGTCACATGCTCCTACCAAAATTCTGCATTCTGCACCAGCTTCATTTTCCAGGTTGACTGAGGTACAGCCTCATGTAGACCATGTTACTATAACAAACTTGAGATGACAAAGACACAAAAATGGTAGCAGTCTCCTAGCCATAGGAGGATGGAGAAAAACATTCCTGGGCAATATTACTATAGGATAATTCAGCAACAGCCAGGAGTCCAAAAGCACCTGTAGATTATGAACTCTAGAAACAAATGGCAGGCACACATGCTAAATATGAGGGACAGATATAATATACACAATAGCTTCTGATTTCTTCTCCCAACCGACCAGCATCACTTCAGCTTTGTCCAATTTGAACCTCAGCCAGCAAACTTTCCTCCATGCTCCAATTCAACCCAAGCACTGAGCCAGGAGTTCAACAGCACCGGCTGCTGGATCAAGTGAAACAGGGATATGACGGTGGATATTATCAACATATCAGTACTGCTACCCATACCTCCTCCCAACTCCAATATACATTGAATAAAAAGGAACACAAGATGGAACCAATTGTGAAACTCCAAATGACATCACCCTAAGGGTTGAAGGGCTATTGCCCTTCACAACTATCACAGAACACTAAATAAGGAAAAGATAGTATCATCTGAGGAACTGCTTGTCCATTTCCGTTAGTCTGCAGATAAGTTACTATTACTCTGTGATCAACAGTATAGAAAAACAGCCGATAGACCTAACAATATCAGTATGGAGATCTCAGATTATCCATGAGTAGGAAATCTACCACCACCACTACTACAATGGCAGCTTCTGTCTTGCACCAAGGTACATATCTAAATTGACAAGGGTCAAGAAGACTCTAGGTATTCTGAAGATTGTCTCACTATAACATTCTATCTAATTTTAACCAAAGACAGAAGATTAGCTACTAAACAGGAGACAGATTGTTACATCAAATGCTGGTTTCTTGAGAAAAAGCCAAGCAACAGCTTTCTTAAGAGACACTGGCATTCTACACTCTCTCATTTGACAATATCCACCAGCAATGGATCAAGTTTTCTCTCTTAGCCTTCTCAGCCAGGTAGGACACAGGTTCCAGAGACAGGTTGTGGGGTCCCAAATCTTCTAGTGTCTCTAGGGTGACGAGGTGTCCCGATTTTATAGGGACAGTCCTGATTTTGGGGTCTTTTTCTCACATAGGTACCTATTACTCCCCACCTCCTGTCCTGATTTTTGACACTTGCTATCTGGTCAACTTAAGTGCCTCAGTGATTGTTACTGACCTAAACTCAGCAAGAGAACGCTTAGCCTTTGTGCTCTCAAAATACCATTTGTGATTCAAATTACTTATGATTCAAATTAGCAATCTTGGAATCATATTAGCACTCGGGCTGTTTCTGGAAGATAGAATAGCACTTGTAATTTAATAAAAAAAAAAAGTTCTTTCACCTGTGCCTGCTAGAAGAGAGTAACCTTTCCAGTGCTGACCTTGCTACCATCAGCCTCTAGACTACTAAAATGCACTGTACAAGAGGCTGCATACTGGAACCATTTGGAAGGTTGAGCTAGAGCCACTGCATGCATATTTAGAGATGTGTCACATAGTGCTCTTATAACAACCTTCACAGTCAGTGGCTTCCAATAACTTTCTGAATAGAGTACAAGGAGCTGCTTTTAACATATAAAGCCCTACTTGTTTCAGGGCCTAGTTAACGGAGTGACCATCTCCCTCCCTATGCCACAATTAAGATCCGCAATGGCACCTGAGTAGGGTTGCCAGGTGTCCGGTTTTCGACCAGAACGCCCAGTCGAAAAGGGACCCTGGAGGCTCCAGTCAGCACCGCCAACTGGACCATTAAAAGTCCAGTCAGCGGTATTGCAGGGCTAAGGCAGGCTAGTCCCTACCTGTCCTGGCACTGCACTGTGCCTCAGAAGCGGCCAGCAGGTCCGACTCCTATGTGTGTGTGGCGGGGGGGGCCACAGGGCTCTGTGCACTGCCCCTGCCCCGAGCACCGGCTCCGCACTGCCATTGGCCGGGAATCGCGGCCAATGGGAGCTGGGGAGCGGTGCCTGTGGGTGAGAGCAGCTGTGTGGAGCCTCCTTGCCCCCCCCCCCCCGCCTAGGAGCCGGACCTGTTCCTGGCAGCTTTTGGGGCACAGCGCAGCGCAGAGCCAGGATAGGCAGGGAGCACTGCTGATCGGGAGCTGACCGACGTAAGCCCGCACCCCAACTCCGAGCCCCAACCTCCTGCCCCAGCCCTGAGCCCCCCCCCAAACCCGGAGTCCCCTCCTGCACCCCAAACCCCTCATCCCTGGCCCCAGCCCAGAGCCCATACCCCTAGCCCAGAGCTTGTACCCCCTCCTGCACCCCAACTCCCTGCCCCAGCCCAGAGCCCCCTCCCACACCCTGAACCCCTCATTTCTGACTCCACCCCAGAGCCCACACCCCCAGTTAGAGCCCTCACCCCTCCCGCACCCCAATCCCCTGCCCCACCCCAATGAAAGTGAGTGAGGGTGGGGCGGGAGTGAGCCACCAAGGGAGGGGGAAATGTAGTGAGTGGGGGCGGGGCCTCAGGGAAGGAGCAGGGCTAGGATGTTCAGTTTTGTGCGATTAGAAAGTTGGCAACCCTACACCTGAGCTGGAGCTTCCTCAACATAAATAAGGAATTCCTGGAAGTGTATCCTCGACTCTAGAATTAGCGTCCCATCTTGCTAACCAGACCATGAATTTGTTAGCATCCAGACATGCTACAAAACCCCTTTTTTCTCATAGGCACTTAAGTAGAGGGGCTGGAGATTGAGCATGGTTTAGGAGTCTTTAGTTTTTGTGGGAGAGCATATTAACTGGAAAATGTGTAATGATAATTTAATGACTGTGTGCATTAAATTTGGGGAAGTGCCTGCAACTCTACAGACAAAAAAAAAAAAAAAAAAAAGGATTAACTCTACAGCCCAATTATATCAGTCTAAATGCAACATTGGTAACTACTTCACTGCTAATGATTTCAGCTGAAACATTTAGATATTTGGGACGGTGAACAAGTCTTGGGTGGATAACCATCATTTCCTCCTAATCTGGCCATTAGTCCTAGGAAGACTCCCCTCTCTCCCAATAACAGAGAGATGAAGGAATGACAGTAGTTGACCTCAAATGAATATACACAAAGTCACTAACTAAACTATGATGTTTTTTGTTTTGTGAAGTTAAAATATTTAAGGATGTTAAGTCATGCTGACATAACATCATCACATACTGACAAAACGCTATGATGTAAATGATGCAACATAGTCAGGATATCATGCCATAATTGATTTGGTTCTGCAACTCTATTCAGTAAGAAAAGGCTTGCCAGCTCTACAGACTGCGACACTGATTTAAAGAACAGATGTTATTGCTGAGTTATCATTTCATGATATAAAATTATCAGAATTCCTGTTCCTTACAAACTGCCACCAAAGCAAAAAACAAAAAGTAGAAAAATAAAACAACCTTTAAATTCAGTTTATGGATGACTTTGTCTTTGTTCTTAGCCTTTCCTTCCAATTTAAAAGGTTTCTCACTGTCAGACACTGGATCCCTTATATTAAAATGGTCTTCTCTTGTTGTTACCTTCTGAGGGAATGGAAAACAGTATAAGTACTTCTGTGGAATGAATTTCTGCATGCAGTCATGAAGTGTGACCTTTGAAAATGGGAGAAGACATACTCCTGAAGATATTTCATAACAATATTTCCCCTTAAGGTACTTAACGCTGCACACTGAGAGAATATCCTGAGATAACACTGTTCATGGATGCACCAGAGAAGCTAAAGATAAATTTTGTACATTTCATTTTTAAAAACAAACAAAAGGTTTTAGGTTAGTCTGGTAGTTTAGTGGAATTGTTCTACAATCCCATGCAAGACAGCTAGATTTCATTACTGGTCTCTTGCTCCTCTGGCCAGGGAGCGTGGGGGGAGAGGTAGTTAGCAGTAAAGCATATAGATTTTCCGTTCCTTTGACAAGTTTAAAAAGCAAGAGTGGGGAGGATCTTGTTTCAATTGAGTCTGACATTATTAATAATTAAATTGATGCCAATGTTATCTACCATCTTTTACAAGTATAACAAAATATCAAACAAAAAAGCAAATATAAAAAAAATGTCAACAAGCAAAACCCAAAAATATATTAAACAAAATGGAAAATACATTTGTTTTCTTTAAAAATATATATACCACTAGGGCCCCACATTACAAAGGCCTGATATTTTGATGTGGAAAACTAGTAGCATAGAAGCAATAAGACTCAACTCTGAAGCTGAGAGTAAATTGCAGTAAGAAGAATAAACAAAATTCTATAAATGAGTGAGTGTAAGTATACAAAAAGCCTTACATTTAACTTAATTCTACAGGTTAGGTTTAGGCAGTGTAATGGCCTGAATAAAGCAGTAATCGAAGAATAATAAACATAATGAAAACAAGCTTCATATTTCTGAACAGACTGTACACCAAAAAGAAAAAGCAGGAAACCTGGCAAGAAAGCCATTACAACAGTCAAATCAAGAAATAACTGAATCATACATCAATGATTTAGTAACAAAGACAAAAAATTACAAATATTAAAATCTATACATTTTAATTATTGACTTAATATGTAAAACATAAGAGTCGGAATTGATACCCAAAAATTGTAGAAATGGGAGTTAGGGCTTGATCCAACACCCATTGAAGTCAACTGGAGTATTTCCACTGACTTCAGTAAGCACTGGATCAGACCCTTAATGCAGAAAATAAAATAACTCAGTTTGGAAGCAAAAAAGTTTTGTTATTTTTATTTTGTCCATATTAAGCAATAAAAGCAGCTAGTTGCTGTCCTAAAAAAATAAAGGAACTAAATTAGCTATGGTTTGCATATAAATGATACTTAAAAGCATCAGACTAAAGGGGAAAAAAAGCAGTGGACCCAAAATAGAACCTTGCAGAATACCCACTGACAATTCATAGGAGAGAAACAAATTCCTGCTGTAAAATCAGAAGACTGATTACTGAGGTAAAACTCCAATGATGTACATACCCTTATGTTGTATATCAAATATATATCCTGATCCTGCAAACACTTCCACAAGTGTGTAACTTTACACATGTGAGTAGTCCCATTGACTTCAATGTGTGTAAATGTTTGCAGGACTGGGCCCTCTTACATAACTGAAGTACAATGCTCCTATCAGTTGTGTCAAATATGATAGCAAAAAAATAAAGAGAAGCCAGCTGGAGACACCCCAAGGGGAAAAGGGTATAACACACAAGCAAAGTGAACAATGTAGTGGCAGAAGACATCATATTAGTTTTAAAATTGTTTTTTAAGAGGGGTTCCTTCTGTAGGGATAAGCTAAAGAAAAGGGAAGGAAATGGAATTGAGGGGGATGGGGCAGGGAAGAAGCAGATAACAGGAGTAGACCTGAAGAGACTGTGAGAAAGAGGTTTGGAGCAAACAGCCAGTTAAAACACGACAGAGAAGTTCCAGTCAAAACAACTGTAGAAAGTTCTCAAAAAGTCCAAAAGTCCCTGCTTCTGCAGCTACTCCTACCAGCTGGAGTAGTCCTGGAATAGCCACTGGATCTAGCCCTGAAAAAAATCAAAACTGTCTTGTCTATTTAGATTGTAAACTCTTCAGGGCAGAGACTGTCACAGTGAGGCCCCATTCTTAACTGGCCTTAAAGCACTACTACAAAAAAACAAAGATTAATAGTAATTAATGATTAATAATAAATCCAAGAATCTCAAAACAGATGACAAACTATTTGAGGCAGTAGTGGATAGATTATTATTATAATCTTATAAAACGACAAATTTGGTAAAATAATCATCTCTACAGAATCATATTGAAAATTATCAGGAAAGTTATTGTCATAAAGAGATGGCAAAAACTGACCACATGTTCTACTCATGTGGGGAATTCTGCGCCACTGCGCTTGTGCCGAATTCATGTCCCCCGCAGATTTCTTTGCTTCCCTGCAGAAAAATGACTTTCTGACAGGGAAGCTGCAAGAGCAGTCACACACCACTGCCTAGCAGCGCAGGTACAACGTTTCAGGCACCCAGAGCAGCCGGCAGAGAGGTAAATCACCGTGGGGGTGGAGAAACCCCACCCAGTGGCTCCTACCCTAAACCGGGATCAGCTGCTAATCCCGCCTGGGCTGGAGGCAGGAGAGGATGAGACTGCCTCTTCCCCTGCAAGGAGCGGCTGCGACTGTGTCAGACCCACCCCCAGAAATCTCCCCCAGCTGCAGGAAGCTCAGCATCCTCCCCTGCTTCCTGCCCCCATCACTCCTCAGCTGTGGAAGGAGGGGTCACTGTATGGGGAGCTGCTCCCCCATCCACCCAACCCCTGTGCATCTGAACCTCCCATACCGAGACACCCTTGCCAAGCCTCACCTGGTACATCCAGAATCCCCCTAGACCTCCATACCCGAACCGCACCCCACCGAACCTCAACAGGTGCATCTGGAGCCTCCCTGCAGCCAGACCCCCTGCCTACGGAACCCCAGCCCTGCACCCCAACACCCCCACTGAGCTCCCTGCACTCAAACCCACACCCTGATGCCCCATCCCCTGCACCACTCTGAGCTCCCACATCCAGACCTTCATGCCACTGACCACCAACTAGCTGCACCCCACCGAGTTCCACTCCCCCAGACCCCCACCCCCTCTGAGATCCCCATACCCAGACCCCTCTGCTGAGCCCCAACAACCTTCACCTGGAAGCCCCTGCAGAGTCCCATTGCCCCTGCACCTGGAACCCCCACAATGAGCCTTTGTGCATCCATATCCCCTCACTGAGCTGCCTGCACCCAGATTGTCCCACACAGAATCCTCTCACCCCACACCTGGATCCCCCCACACTGAGCTCCTCCATATTTGGATCCTGCCTGGTTGAGCATACCTGCCCCACACCTGGTGCATCTGGCACAGAGGGGCATGGCCCCAAGGTGTTTCTGGGGCAGGTCCAGGCCTTGTGCTATGTCAGGGTTGTCCGCTGAGTCCATGTCCTGGAGGTAGGGGGGACTGCAGGGTGATCTCCCACCTTTGTGCAGCCAGTGGCCTGCCCTCCCCACTGTCATGCTGGAGCCTCTGCATTTATTTATTGACAAATAAAACGTGCAGAAATTTAAAATATTGTGCACAGAATTTTTAATTTTTTGGTGCAGAATGCCCTCCGGAGTAATGTTCAAACAGTTTTTAGACAAACTGAAAGAAAAAAATAGGACAAATACTAGTAATTAAGGGTCTGATCCTGCTCTCATTAAAGTTAATATGAGTTTTCCCAGGGATTTCAAAGAAACAGGATTGGGCCACAAATATGGGTGAGACAAATTGGTTCAATTAAAAAAAAATGTGGTCATGCTGTGGAAGGAAACCTAAGGATATACTGTAGATCACAGACAACATGCACCCTGATCTCCTAGCAATGGGCACATAAAATAAAAATCGGTTAAGTGAATGTAAAATAATAGTATTTTATCACAGATTACAATGATAGATATTAGATGCAAAATAATGCATAAGGGTTAAAGTCTGTTGCTATAAAAATCAACAGAAAATTCACTGGATCCAGCCCTGAAAAAAGCAAAACTAGCCTTGCTCTTTTTTTAAAAAACTTAAAGGTATCTTTGAAAACTAACAAATTTGGGATATAACAGAACCTGAATATAAATGCCTTTACCTATTTTTTATAAGTCTACTATGTCAGATCTATTTGACCTTAAAAAAACAAACAAGTGAAGCTTTGCTAACCCCTTACTGAAACTTGCTAATTTATGCATGGTGGGGTGAAAAGGGAGGGATAACTCAATGGTTTGAGCATTGGCCTACTAACCCCAAGGTTGTGAGTTTAATCCTTGACAGGGCCATTTAGAGATCTGGGACAAAAATCTGTCTGAGGATTGATCCTACTTTGAGCAGGGGATTGGACTAGATGACCTCCTGAGGTCCCTTTGAATGATTCTTGTATAAACATGCTACCCACTGTCTTTAGAAAGTAAATATACCAGAATACCTTTATGCAATAACCTTTCAGAATTCTCTTTGCCTGGGCAGTGGTGGGTGCTTGGAAGGAGGGGGCGCGGAGCGGTGGGGAGGTTAACCAGTACATAAAATAACGTTTTTCCATCCTGTCAAGTATCAGGGGGTAGCCGTGTTAGTCGGTATCTACAAAAACAACAAGGAGTCTGGTGGCACCTTAAAGACTAACAGATTTATTTGGGCATAAGCTTTTGTGGGGTTTTTACCCATGAAAGCTTATGCCCAATAAATCTGTTAGTCTTTAAGGTGCCACCAGACTCCTTGTTGTTTTTCCATCCTGATAGTTGTAATGGTGGGCAAGCAGCTTTTGTGCCTGGGCTAGGAAATTCTGATATTCTGCAAAACCGGTGCAGATTTGATAATGGCTTTTTCTTTTTAAAGTAAACTACACTATCTGCACGGAAGTAGTCTATACACTAAATACACCTAGATTACGCGTTTCTAAAAATAAAGAAAGCTACCCAGAAGCTAAGGGCACTTAGTCTCAAACAAAGCCCAACGTCTCTCCGTGCCCCCTGCCTGTCAGCCGGAGTCAAGCCGTCACCATGGTGATTGCGGGGCCAGCCCGTGTCCCGGGTCCCCAGCCTACGCTCAGCCTCAGCGCCCTGTGCTCCGACGGCCCCGCGGTCACCCGCAGTCGGGGAACCTGCGGCTCGCGCCGGGTCTTACGGGGGGGGCGGGGGGTCTTCCCAACGCAGGCTGCGCGAGCCCAACCCCAGGCCTCACGCGCCCGCCGGCAGGGCAGGAGGGGCCCCCGGCTCCCACCAGGCGGGCCCCCCCCCCCAGCTGCCCCGGAGAGGGGGGGGTCTGTACCTGCGCGGGACACGCCGCTTTCCTCCTCCTGCGCCCCGGGGACTTTCTGGCGCTCATGGCGGCGGCTCCCCCGGCTCTGGCCGGACTCCGCCGCCGCCCCCTCGCACTTACCCGCCGTGGCGCCCGCTTCTCCCGCTCCAGCCCCGCAGCCCAATCAGAGACCCGGCGCCGGCTCCCCCTGCTGGGCAGGGCGGCCTCGCCTCGCAGCCAGGCGGGAGGAGGTCTCGCCTCCCGGTCACCCACAGTTCACTGCCCCCGGACTCCGTCCAGCCACCCCCCCGAGCCTCCTGCGCCCCCCCCCCCCTGCGCTTCTCTCGTTACCTGCTGCATTAACCCCCTCGCTCCCCTGCGCTCCTCTCCCGGCCCCTCCCCCGCCCCGTTCCGAGCCGCGCGCTCCATCCCCCCCAACCGCCGCTCGCGCAAACAGCGGGCGGTGAAGCGCGCGCTCGTCGCGTGCCCTTCTGCCCCCCGAGCCCACCTTCACTCACCTGCCTTCACGCGCGCACCGGGCAGCGCAGAGCAGCCTAGGAGCCGCGCTGCCGGGCGTCAATTGATAACCCCCCTTTCCAGAGCCAGGGAGCTCGCTGCAGCCCGTTAATGCCCGGGGCGGCCAGGCTTACAGATCCACCTGGCTCAGAGCAAGCGCAGCCAGCGGCAGTGTTAAACCATGTGCCAAAAACCCCAACCTGAATGCCCCCCACACACAATTGCACCTGCCGGTGTAACGACCGGCTTGGGGCAGCAGTGAATTGCCGAGGGAGTTTCCACCGCAACATTAATCCCCTTCACACTGCGCCCAGCCCAGTACCCGCGCTGCTGTAGACTAGTTCGGACTGAGACGCGTTTTCTGTTTCAAGGACAACTCCTAAGTGCTCCCCACACGCATGCTCATATTTTTTACTTTAAATTTGCTGTCAGTGGGGTGAGGGGGGAGTGATGGGTAGTATTAGTGGTCCAGATATGGGGTCATTTGAGCAAGGGGCTCCTGAGAGTCAGCCTCCACCCCAAAAAACCCTCCAGCGTTTTACAAAATCAACAGACCATTATAGCGTGTGTTTTTTTTACTGCACACCTGAGGCTTAGATGATGGCTCTGGTTGTCCCCCAACTTATCTCAGGCTTACAAGCAGGCTCTCCAACCAGCCCCTGCATGGGAAAGCTATTCCCAGCTCCTCAGGCATGCACCCCCTCTGGAATACAAATCCAAAATTATACCATCTTGCGCAGCACAAGGAACTGTACAGCATAAGCTCATAAAATTCACCCTCTCCCTCAATGTGGAGAGAGACATGCAACAGCCTTTTGCCCCTGAGTTAGGATTCCCACACACTGGTTTAGCTAAAGCAAAACCAAGTTTATTAATTACAAAAAATATATTTTAAGTGATTATAAGGGATAGCAAACAGATCAAATTAGATTACCTAGCAAATAAAGAACACAAACTAAACTTAATATACTAAATAGATTGGATATGAATAGCAGATTCTAACCCTAAGAGATGATACAAGCAGGCTGCAGATTTTTAAGAGGCAAGCTGCACTTGCTTTGAAGCTTGGAATCCCCAGGTGTTTCATTCACAGATTAAAATCCCTTTAGCCTGGATCCAGCACTTCCCCCAGTTCAGTCTTTGTTCCTCAGGTGTTTCCAGGAGTCTTCTTGTGTGGAGTGCAAAGAACACCAGATGATGTCACTCCCTGCCTTATACAGCTTTTGCATATGGTGGGAACCCTTTGTTTCAAAGCTTGATTCCCAGACCAGTCTGCGGAAAAACGCTGACATCCCAAGATGGAGTCTAGAGACGTGCGGTCTCATCACATGTCCTTGTAGAGTCATAGCAGCCATCACTCACAGGCTGTTTGGAGTGCTCACAGGAAGGCTCATCAGGTGGGAGCTAAACTTTTCCTAAGGCTATTGTTTTTTTCCTAATGGCCTATTGCACTGAATAGGCCCTTCCCCACCCACTATCTAGACTGAAAGCATCTTGTCTAGTGGGCATTACCCAGATGTAACTATATTTGAAATACAGATACATAGTCAATATTCATAACTTCAGATACAAAAATGATACATGCATACAGTACAAATAGGATAATCGTGTTCAGCAAATCATAACCTTTCTAATGACACGTTGCATGACTTATCTTGCATAAAATACAATTATGTCATAATCATATCATAATAATATCACTGCAAAGAATACGGGGTGCACTGTCACACCTGTAATTAAGTAAATATGAAATTTTACAGTGCACCCTAAACTATCAGGTTGAAATCCTGACTCAGCTGAAGTGTGAGAGAAATAACACATATTGGAATACACACCTTACATAAACTTTAATTATTTTTGTTTCCTTACATGGGTTTCATCTTGAGGTTTTAAAGTAACTTTTCCTCTGTCAAGATGAAACTTTCAAAGATAAATAGAGCCCTGTGCAGATACAAATTTATATTTGGGAATGCGGCTATCAGCAGATATAAATCGGTATCCACGGAACTGCAGGGCTCTCCCAGGAATGGCAGCAGCAAAAAGAGCATAATGTGGGGCCACTGCTCCCAGAAGCCAGCGCCCTGTGCCAGCAGCTCCTCCGGCGTGGCTGTACCACCCCCAGCCCAGCCCTTCCACACATCAGTCTGCATCTCCTGTCTGAGGGCTTGCACGCTGCTTGAACACAAGAGCGTGACCAGGGACAGCTGCCAATGAGCCAGGTGCCTGCCCCAGTGGGCGGGGCTGGGGGAAGTTTAAGTTTCTAAATTATCTTGTTTGCAAGTAGAATGACATCTAGTCACAAGATGTTCAAATTTATTTTTAAGTTTTCTGATGGATGAACACTGAGTGGTTGCTAGGTCTTTTCAATCAGTTATTTTTATAGGATTTGGGGTTGAACTTTCCATAAATTGGTGACATAATGCCATATTAAAACTGTTTCACCTGAACAAGGCTATGTCAGTGTCCTCAAAAAGTGATCTTGTGTTCTGTATTTTTGATATTTGGGGTGGGGGGTCATGTACTAACAGTCTCAGTGGTATGCAAATAGAATATTTTTTAAATTGTTGGCTTAAGTGGAACTTTTTAAAGTTGATCCAAGCTAAGGAAGCCTGATTGGACCAAGCTGCATGGTGCCAAGGCAGACCTCACACCTGATTTGTCCAAAGTCCTTGGAGTAAGGTGCTGCAAGGCAGAGTGAGTGAAGTTTGCAAACCATACAAATCAAGAGTATGTCTGAGAAGCCTTGCCTTTTAGGTCAGTGAGCCACCTGAAGGAAGAACAATGTTCCAGAACCTCTGAGATTGATCATCTTTGGGAGAGGAAGTCACAACATCAATGGACAGCCTACACCAGTCTTTCACCAGTCTCTCCCTTCACCTGAAGGAAGCCCACTAGCGAGACATGTGATGCTAACATCATTGTCTGGCTCCTTGACTACAGTTCCACCTTCTATTTCATAAGAGTCCAGAAGATTGTGAGAACTGAGGAGTTCACAAACTCCTTGTTACCTTAAGAATCTTATTTTTCACTTTTATGTTTGTATTGGTTGTTATTATTAACCGGGAGACATCTCAGCCTTTTTATTCTCTAAATTTTAGGATGTGTGAATGTATGTGTGAATGTGCACCCATAAAGTCCATACAGGGAAGGTTCCAGAAAGTACATTCCCCATTTTTAAACAGCCCTAAACACAATCTCATAAAGATAATAAAGCGTCTTTGTATTCTGTATTTAAAAAGCCCAAAGAAACTCACACTGTCATATGTCAATTTTGGTACCTAAGAGTTGTCAAACTTCTGCTTATCAAAGTTCTTTATTAGTCTGTATTATAATATCTCTGCTGGGGGTGGTGAGGAGGAAAGGGTTAGCCATTGCACAAGAAGTGAAATCTAAGGAGGAAGCTTAATCATTGGCCTGGAGGTTGTGGTTCAGACATTAGATAATAATTTGGGTTCAGTATCAAAATAGTTAACCAGCTCCAAGTTACGGATGCAATTGACTTGGATTAAATTCTTTAGTTGGAGTTTATACTCAAATAGCCAGCTACCTCCTTGGACACCATATTAGAATTTACAAAGATTGATTATTTGTTATATTAATTTCAGGATTCAACTAATCTGATTATTTGATTCCAATCCAGTATTGAGACTAATTTGTTCATTTGACCTTGATTTGATAGTTGTAGTGTTTTATTTGTAGTTTAGTATTATTAATAGTAGCTTAACTTTAGTGATATGTTTTCTATATTTTATTTTTTTCTTGTTTAATAGTTTTTATAATATTTATAGAACTGACACTGAATCACACTTCTTTCAATAAGCAATTTGGGTCCAGAACCTTTGAGTATCTGGATAGATATCAGCTGGTCAGCCTAAAAGCCTAATCAGCTCCCCCAATAAACCTTTGGTTCTCACAGAAGTCAATGGCAAAACTCCAACTGACTTCAATGGGGCCAGTATTTCACCCCCAAAGTCCTGCTTTGCAATGGTCCCTGAGTCAGATCAAAGCACTCGTGTGCCATGACATTGAGCCCTCTTTGTGGCTCCACCCCAGCCCCATCACTCCATATGGAGTGACAGTAGCAGAGAAGGGGAGGCTCCGGCAACTTTAAAGGAGATTAAGTGTCATAAAGTATAAGGCCAGAAAGGACCACCAGGTCATTTAGTGATCCCCTGTGTATCACAGGCCACCAACACCACCAAGCACCTGTGCACTGCACTGAACAACCGAAATTAAACCACAGTATTACAACTCACAGGAGATTAGACTGTTATGTGCCACAGGAGAGAACAGGAGGGACTGAAGTGCACCAGTGTCCAAGGCCCCTGCAATGGTAGGGAAATGATTGAGATACACCCAGATAACCCCAGCAAGTGACCTGCATCCACTTGCTTAAGAGGAAGTTAAACAAACCCCAAGGTCACTGCCAGTCTGACCCAGGGGCGTAGCCATGGATGGGCCTGTGTGGGACACAGTCAACCCACTTAGCATCCAGGGACACTCAAATCGGAGCTGGAGCCCCCCGAATCCAGAGGCTGGGACTCCCAACCCCAGCTCAGTGTCCGTCTGGT